ACGATGGTGAAATCACGATGGTACGATGGTGAAAACGCGATGTAACATCGCGTTTTCACCATCGTACGTATCGCGCCATCGCGATTTCACCATCGTACCATCGCGTTTTCACCATCGTACCATCATGCCATCGCGTTTTCACCATCGTACCATCGTGCATCGCGGGTACAGAATAAATAAAATGTCACGATTGTCCAAACGTGTCCAAACTACGGTGTTCCGTTTGGACACGTTTGGACAATCGTGACATTTTATTTATTCTGTACCCGCGATGCACGATGGTACGATGGTGAAAACGCGATGGCACGATTGTACGATGGTGAAAACACGATGGTACGATGGTGAAATCACGATGGTACGATGGTGAAATCGCGATGGCGCGATAGTACGATGGTGAAAACGCGATTGTTACATCGCGTTTTCACCATCGTACCATCGTGATTTCACCATCGTACCATCGCGTTTTCACCATCGTACCATCGCACCATCGCGCCATCGCGCTTTCACCATCGTACCATCGCGTTTTCACCATCGTGCCATCGCGATTTCACCATCGTACCATCGCGTTTTCACCATCGTGCCATCGCGATTTCACCATCGTACCATCGCGCTTTCCACCATCGTGCCATCGCGTTTTCACCATCGTGCCATCGCGATTTCACCATCGTACCATCGCGTTTTCACCATCGTGCCATCGCCTTCCGGTGGACATGCGCATTGTACATCTTTATCAACAATGGATGAATGCATAACTATGTATTATGTGAGAGGCTATACGTATCGAGACATTTTAAATATGGTGAGGCTTAAAACGGGATTTTGATCTCACTATTTAATCACAGACTATTTAACCCATTACGTTATATACACGCCTTTTAACGCCTTTTTCACAACCCCCCCCCCCTTTTTGTTGTCTCAATTGGTGAAAAAATGCCTTATTTTAGGCCCCCAACACTTGTTTTTTGTTTGAGAAATGTTGTTTAAAAAAAGTGACCTCTTTTTTCGGCGCGGCCCCCCAACCAAAAGATACCTCAGGGGGTTGCCAGAAGGGGGATGTGCCCCATTCTGTTTGGGGGGTTTGAAGGGGGGCGGAGTCCCCCTCATCGCCAAGAAAATTTTGGACTTGTGAGAGGCTATAAATGACCCTAATTGATCATAAGGTAACGTGTAACCAACGCTGAAAAGCATTTGACTCTATCTCAATCCATTGAGAAGTTGCAGCACTTTGAAATCAATTTTGATGTAAAAAATCAACGCAAAATAGTGATTTTTGGCAATTTTGAGATGTCCCCTCGTTGCCATGGTAACAGAAAATTTAAGCCTGAGCATGCTGTTGCAAGGGCAATGGTCCAGTCAACATTTGTGCCAAGTTTGATTAGTGTTGAAGCATTTTTTTATAGTATTATAGCAATTTGAACTTGTAACGGGAGACTTTTCAATGAAAACAGCCATTTTTCACAAAGTGCTCATGAAGTAATGGGTTAATAAGTGTTGTGTATTAAGATTCAATCATTATAAAAACCTTTATGCACTTGTGCTTAATTCATCTTGTTAACGGTAAAACAAGATGAATTAAGCACAGTGCATAAAGGTTTTAAAATTATTGAATCTTAATACACAACACTTATTTAATAGTCTGTGATTAATAGTGAGATCAAATCCCGTTTTAAAGCCTCACTTATATTTTAAAATGTCTCGATACGTATAGCCTCTCACATAATACATAGTTATGCATTCATCCATTTTTGATAAAGATGTACAATGCGCAATGTCCACCGGAAGGCGATGGCACGAAGGTGATAACGCGATGGTACGATGGTGAAATCGCGATGGCACGAAGTGGTGAAAACGCGATGGCACGATGGTGAAAGCGCGATGGGTACGATGGTGAATCGCGATGGCACGATGGTGAAAAACGCGATGGTGACGATGATGAATTCGCGATGGCACGATGGTGAAAACGAGATGGTACGATGGTGAAAGCGCGATGGTGCGATGGTACGATGGTGAAAACGCGATGGTACGATGGTGAAATCACGATGGTACGATGGTGAAAACGCGATGTAACATCGCGTTTTCACCATCGTACTATCGCGCCATCGCGATTTCAAACCCTGGTCCCCTCGTGATTTCCCCCATCGTACCATCGTGTTTCACCCCTCGGGACAAAGCGTGCCATCGGGGGTTTTCACCCTTTGTACCAAAGTGCATCGCGGGGACAGAATAAAAAAAAAATGTTTACGATTGTCCAAAAAGTGTCCCAAAGGGAAAACCCGTACCAAAAGGGCCCGGGAGGAATGTTGGGAAAGCACTAGTCAGGTTTAAATTTGTACCAAAAACCAAAGTGAAAAGAGGAAAATTTAAAAGGGTTTCGCAGTGGGCCCAACACCCTTTTATAAATTCCATTAAGTACTTTATTAAAAAAATGATATGGCGTGCTTTTAAAAATATTTGGCCGTGCACAAAAAAACCAACAAGGGGGGTTTTGGGCCCGCATGGATTCCCGACCAAACCTGCGATCCGCCATCAGCCTTGATTAGGATCCATGCTGTTCGCTATCCGTTTCTCTACTTGTAATAGAGTTGGTAAGCGAACAGCATGGATCCTGATCAGACTGCGCGGATGCGCAGGCTGGTCTGGATCCATGCTGGTCGCAAATCCACTATGTTGGTTTTGTCGTGACGCGGCTCATATGTTGATATGTTTGATCTTTTTTTAACAAAGGCTTATATGATATGGAACATCGGTCACTTGGTGCGTAATAGATCATTTAAGTATTACATCATCAGTGTATGAAATAATGATCATTATTCCCATTAACACGTGCTTTTGTTAAAAGAATTAGAGATAGTTTAAAGTTCAAGTAGCCACCTACAAGAAACAATAACGCTTTTTCCTAAAAGTACAGCGATACACATATTTCCGTTAACAGATATTTGTTGTATGACGAAGACAAATATGTTATGTTGTAGCATATTGATACCAATTTTCGTTGAATAAATTCCTACACCTGTTCAAGCCTAACTATATCAACAACGGGTATTTTAGAAATAAGTTTTGTAAGCTTGAGGATCTCAGTTGTTATTTATGGGTGTATCATACAATGTATAAAATATAACTTTGTCATTAATATGCATGACACGACGAAGGTGTTTATGAAAATAGCTCCATTTCTATCAGAAAAAAAATACAGAGCATACATTAATCAGAGTGGTATATTTGAATGATATTCGATTATCATATATTTGGGTTAAAACGACCATCGATAATGTCATGGAGTGAAAATTTAAACTATTAATATTCACGATATCTTTTTAGTCAATCGAATGTTTTGTACAAGGCATGTACCATTGTATAAATGTTTTAATTCTATGATTATGATTGTGAATGTAGCTATAAACAACGTGCACTAACATTAAACGTGTTAATATTTTAATGTAAAAAACGAAATATAATCATTTAAATCTTCAAAAGAGTTTTAATTGATTTGATGGTCTTTGAACATTTGCTTAAATATTCTACGGTAAATTTAATTTAACTTGAGTGCGATGACTTTTCATTTTAACTACAACGCCTGTAATGTTCAGAGGTTCATGATTCAAAAATGATGCTTTCCATCCTAGTGTCTTCCAGAACTGTTTATAAAGTGCTTTATTGTTAGTAAGTACCAAACCATTAAACTAAAGTACACAGCATGGTGTGTCTACAGGATGATTATCCCCTTTTTTGCTCAATTTTAGGGGATAGGTAAAGTGGCGATAATTATTTTATCAAAAACAAATATAATATAATAAAAGTGATATAAAAAAAAACTTTGTGTGCATTATGTTTTATTAGAAATAAACAAACAAATCCTGCTGCACCGATAAGATATAAGGAGGCATACCTATACAATTTCTGTTACAGCATTTTCTTGCATAACAAAACAACAAATAATTACCACGTTGCTTAATTACCATGACTTCTGAAATATGTGCAATATCAAATCCGAAATAAAATGAGGTTTTTACTTTGTTTAAATTGTTTACTTAAAAGTCAGACGAAATATGTTTTTGGAGAAATAAAAACGGAATCAAGTTATTAAATAAACACAAATAAAACAAGATTGAAGAGAATACTTAAGCCGAGATTTATCGTGTCACTGAAATTAGAAATGTTTTTATTTTAAGTCTCGACATAATGAAAACATGGAGAAGGAATATGAAAGGTTAAGTTCAAAAACAAAGAAAACAATTTCCCAGGAAAAGTATAAAACAAAAGCAAAAATGAAAATAAAATCAAACAAAATAAAACTACAGAAGCTAAATTACTGTTATTGCAAGACATCTTAATTGCTGTAATTAATTAAAGCGTTTTAAATTTGAAAATTATCTCATTTTAGAAGTCTAATAAAATATGAAGAAATACAAAATATATTCGGGTTGATAAATTAATGTAAACAGCTGGTTTATCACTCAAGAGTAAGGAAAACAAAACTGAAAAAATTGTAAATGGCAGGCTCGATATGATTAAGTCTGTTTTGAAGAGATATTTACAGGTCCAACATTCCTCACGCAGCCCTAGCACCAGGGTGAACTGGCCTTGTAGTTATAAAACTTTTTTCTGAGATCCATCTCAAATCATAGGATTTTCATTGGTTAGTGTACCTTCTGTGGGAGTTTCAGACCAATCAAATACCTGAGATCTGAGTTTGAGCTTAGACATTATCTTTATAACCTCTGACCCTGGTTTCAATCATAAACGCAAGAAATGAACAAGAAATAGCACGGGGAGGAAGTAATAAAGGGGTAACTTCTCTAGCTGTTTCTTAGCATTAACTCGTGCTGTTGAGCAATATAGATAATATTTAAAAAGTTGAATATCGCAGACTCGGTTTGATTGAATCTGTTCATGAGCTATACATTATCATATACTTAAGCACCAGTGCTTTAGTCACAGAAAATTGCATGTTTTCCCGAAGGTAATTAATTATACATTTTATTTTATTTTTCTAATTTCAGAGATCTGAGATTTAATGCGATAAAAGACATTCCGAGAGGTGCGTTAAGAAATGTACCGAGACTAGAAACATTGTAAGTACATTTATTAATTTGATTCAAGAACGTGTTGGTCATGATTCATCACGTGTCACAACTCATATAGTAGCTACGCCTTCTTATCCACAGCTGCTACAAAATACTTGATCTCTTCTTTTTATCTCACTTTCTTGTCCACTTGACATTTGACAATGATTACCACACGTTATAAGATATTGCACAATTTTATATCTCTAAGAGGACACTTGAAGTATCGGTACATTGTTGCATTATTTTTGTAGTTTTTACGTTAACAGACAGAGAATTACTCATTATGTAGGAAATTGATATTTATTATCGCTTTATTTAGTTACCACGTGCTACTTTCAAATTATATCAAATTTATGATATCAGAAATTCCTCTCTGTTTCCTGCAGTGTATAAAGATAACAGGGTATTAGTTAAAGATGATTTAATTTGGTATCATATTTGTAACATTATAAATTTCTTCAGATATCATACAGATTCGACGTCTTGGCAAAGGCTTCCCTATAGGTAGAAATGAGCATGTCACAGTAAATCAAACATTGTTTTATCTTTTGACTTTCAGACTCTTAAATAACAACGAGCTGAAAGTTATCAAATCAGGTGCATTTGAAGGTCTACGTGAATTGAGATTTTTGTAAGTATGAACAGTTTGCATTAAATCTTCTAGTTTCATTAGAATCAGACATCTCATACTAAATACAAATTAATTGTCATTTTAATGCCATGAAGTGATTTAAGAACATTTAATTCGCTATAACTATTTATCTGTGTACATTACATCTGTATATAATACTGGAAGGCCTATAAAATGAATACAAATGCTAAAGACGCAAATGCAGTTACTGATTGTTGAGGGATCTCGTGGCGGATTAACTATTATCTCGTGTAGACCCTCAAGAAATGCATATATTTAATTCCTGTCTCAATAGACTGTGAAGTTTAGAAGTACAACAACAGTTAAAACTTACAACGTACAAGCAAAGTTACATAAGTGAAGGCCAATCACTTCTTTAATTCGTGAAACTCAAGAAAGAGGCATCGATGACAAGCGACATATCTCCAAATAATCCTCTAGGAATGAAATTTTAGAACAATTAGGGCTCAAATGCAAACATAACAGTGAGGTTGCAAAACAAATGGGGAGCCCGATTTGGGTGATGTACGAATCTCAAATATTTTTTAAAGGATATAGACTGAGAACTTGAAAAAATAGGAGAATTTCTTTCATGAGATTTTTTCACATGAAGATAAAACAAATCCCCGTAAGACCACAACATAGAACAATCTTAGGGTTCCGAAATGCTCTCTCGTCTGCCTCTTTAACATTATCTTTAGTTGGTTTATACCAACAATTAAAATATTTAATACAGTAATAATATTGTTTAGATACTACAATGGATACTTTTGAAGGAAAATGTTTTAAAAGAGAAACATGGTGATTCATATAATATAAATTTGTGTTGTACATCTAAACCCTACATTGCTTGAAGGACTGCTTGAAGGACTGCCGTTTTTGAGCTGGCATTGGTACCTTCAATTTATAGCCACGTCATTAATTTAAGAATGTTTGGCTCTTTTCTTCCTGAAAAGTTATATAAAACAGTTTTATTCATTAGATTTGTCTGTAAGAAACTGTGGACGTCTTTTAAATGATACATGAAAAAAATACATATATTAACGTCATTTTTTAGTTTTTATTTTTAATTCTGCGCTACACATCATATCGGGTGAGTTATAGTGTTGTATATTTTCGTATTACATAGTTGCGTCTTCACGCAAGTGAACAAATGATTGATGAACTTGTTAGAAGATTGTAAATTCCTCAAATTTCCTGGCACCTTGCAGATTTACACGACTTTTTAAAGATTTATTCGCAGATATAAGACCGAACAGCTGTGATTTAATTATTTTTTCATTCTGTTTTAATGGCAACTTGAACAGCAAACTGACATCCTCCCACATTTTAATGATATCACGTTTATATGTCAGATAAAGTTATTATATTTTATCATTTGCTGTCATCTCCTTTCTAGGTAGCAAGTATTGGTGAAAGACGGACCGTGTTTTTTTAAAGATTGTGTTCTTGTATATTTCAGATACTTATACAAGAATAAAATTGAAGCGATTGAACCAGATGTATTCAATCATTTACACAAGTTGGAACAATTGTAAGCTATATATATTACGCTTGTATGTCTTTAATATAAAAATGACTTGCCGTCCTCCCTTACAGGAAATATGTATATATTTACTACTTGTGGAAGTACTTTAACTTGTTTAACTGAATTTGTCCAGAACAACAAGCAGAAGAAGAAGAGTTTCAGGGTTTCAGGTCTTACTGAGATAGATGTTAAATTATATTTTATGAATAAATGCGAGAAAAATTGTCCAATAAAAGATTAATACAACGTTTTGTCCTATTTGATTAACTTGGATTATTAGCTTTTATTTTATGCTTTTCAGTGGATTACTGATTTATCCGTGAAAATTATATTTGATAATTTCACAGTGAAAATTATCAAAATATAATTTCACACTTTTCAATGACGAAGCTACTTTTTTAAGATTTTCCCCATGTGGCACCTCAATTTTATTTTTGCTGACTATTCCGACAATGTCAGGCTGTTTAAAGAAAAGCAAAGCTGAAACTGATAAATAACTTATATGTCACAAGTAATAAAAAGAAGAAAACTTACAGTAAGTTACTTCTATTCATTCAAGTTACCAATCACCAAATATCGTCTCTTTAATTTTTTGTTTCATTTTTACAGTCTGAAAAATACATTCCTTCCACATGCAAAACTGCTCTTGATGACATTTGGGAATATTTAAGTATCCTACGAGCAATAACTGCCGTATGCTTTATGAAAACTTGAAAAGCATTGGCAGCTTTCAGTCGAAGAATATGTAAACAACCCAGCGTTCGTAAGGCTTCCGAGTTCTCCAATTTCCTATCCACTTTTTTGAATGTTTACACATCTGTCAACACTTATTTATTGTCTGTTACAATCCTCAAATAAGTTTTCTTTCTTTTAAAAATGTGTATGACTAACAAATCCAAATGATATCCCTCTGAATCAAACACAATTATTTTCATCCAGTGAAATACACAACTTAAAAATGGCGGCCGCTTACATTTAACACAGCCAGGTCTAATATAAATTCGCAGTCAGTAACAGAAATATGGATGGATGGTTGGACTTTTTCTCCTACTAGAAATGTTTGTTTTTATTATTTGGACAAGCGATCAGACATATTTTTTTAATAAAATGAATACTATCGCCACCATTTAAAGTTGATTGTGGAACTTATTTTTCAGCCCATGACTTCTTGTATTTAATGAGAAATTCGACTTTTTTGAGGCTCTAAATGGGGAAAACAGATTTTAATATTAACGTAAATATTAAGGAAATTTCGTTTTAACTTGTTTTTAAGCATAAAATAAAAAGAAAATTTGTTTGTTTGTTGTGTAAGATGTAATTTTATTTCATCTCGTGAACTTTAAAAACAGTATTCTCACTCGTGGCTACGCCACTCGTGAGAATACTGTTTTTAAAGCCCACTCGATGAAATAAAATTTCATCTTACACACAAACAAACAAATATCCTCTATGTCTAGTAACCTTAGTTGCATTGTCGCTTTGTAAAATAAACATGTTTTATTTACATATAAGTTAGCAATATGTATATGTACCTGAATACTAATAATACAAAAACGTCCTTGTCCCCGAGAGCATATCAAAATTATCTAATTAAATCAGGTAATTATTAAATCTTGCTGGATCAAATTATCTGTATATGAATGACGCCAAGAAATCAAAAGTTTAAATTATATTTAATTAAGATTGATCAGATTTGGTAGAGCGGGCACGGTATAAATTCATTTGAAATATAAGATTTAGAAGTGTGGTACCTTTTTCTTTGTGTTTCACAGATTTTCGTTTTAAAGACATTTGATATTAAGATGACACGATATCAAATAAATATATGATGTAAGAGGGCTAAGATTTTGTTTTTCCTGAGGGTGCATTGCAATAGATACAAAATTTAGCATTATAAAATTTGAGCGTCATGTCAGAGCAACAAATTGCATACATTTGTATATTAATTATACCCTGGTGTAATTATTAGATTAGAGCAGTTTAAAGTGAATACATTAAAGCATTCATCTTGGTTATGTCAATGAAATAAATTGCTTTTAGAGTACTGAATCTGTTTTAAACTATACATCAGTACAGAAAACTAATGATTAATTTTGTAATGTAATTATTTCAGATTTTTGCACGGCAATTATTTAAAGAGATTGCCACCTGGTCTATTCTCGTCAAATAGAAATTTAAAACGATTGTAAGTATTGTGAATCACGTCTTTACTATATAACATAACGTTTAACTCTCATTTTAATGCATAGATACACAAACAAAAAGCATGTCAAGCGACTTATCAGTGTCAAATAAGTAATTACACCCCATGTAATGGGAAATAAAAACCTGCATTCTTTATAAGAAAAAAACTGTATCTAAAATATGCATTCAGCTCTGGGAATTGACTGGTTTTATATTGGTTATCTAAAGTTTGACACGAAACTGAAATATAGGGCAGTGATTTTGAGAATAAAAAAGCTTTTAAGTTAGATGACTTTTAATATTTGAAGAAGTCGTAAAATTATTTATGATATCATTTGTATCTGATTAACTATTATAGGAGAAATATTTATGATCATAGGTAAACGCATGATGCTGTTTGTTTAAAACATCTACTTCCCGTATTCACATATTTATTGTAATCAAGTTGTTTAGCTTGGATTCAAATCAAGCTGGTAATATATGTTCTTTTTTATGAAAAACATTAGGCCGAATAATCATGTCGGACATTTAAAATTTGTCATAAAATCATTACCAAACATAATGCACCCTTTTCTATAACTCAAATTAATCCAAGATTTCTCACATTTTAAACAGACGGTTGGATTCAAACGCTTTGATATGTGACTGTGAAATGGTATGGTTAGCACAGATGTTAAAGAACAATTTAGCCGAGACTCAGGCAGCAGCTATTTGTGAATATCCGGGTAATTTAAAGGGCAAATCACTCATGGAGATCAGTATGTCCGAATTCAATTGCGGTATGTATTACTATTACTCGTCACGAAAATTTTTGCGAGCCCTTTTATTTACAAAAGCTATGTCAGTTAAGATTCAGTCAATGGTATTCATCAGTTTGTGTATCATTCATTTTAGCCAAGGACATCAACTCTATCATAGAATCGCCAAGTGCAACGCAGAGAAAGTTACTTGTTTTTACAGACATTAGAGGTACATTGTCTGACGAATACATGCATGTTACCTCAAGCGCCGCTATCAATAACTGCTTTTCTAAAAACGAAATGAACATTTTTAGAAATACCCTTGTGCTTTAACTATTTTTGTTCTGCTTTGACTTTATGATAACAAAAAACTTGCTTCAACATTTTCAACTACATTGTATTTTCATTTATTGTTACTTGCATAGGCATATACATATTAGAATTCTGAGCTTTGAACATTTTTACCATCTGCATGTTACTGCAGTAACTCTTTTTGTAAGAAAAAGAAATGAAATAAATAAGCAATTGAATGGTTTGCTGTTATATTTTCGTTTTCCTTCAAGTATAAAGTTATGTATTAGATTGATTTTTCATTCAACTGTATTTTCCAAATGTTTATTCATATTATTAATTATGGGATCATTTGGTTAATTATTTTGATTCACTTATTTCAAAATAAGAAACTACATGTATATAGCTGTCTATTTTATAGATACACCTGTAATAACAAATGAACCTACAGATGTAGAAGTAAATTTCGGAAACACTGCTTACTTCCGGTGCAGAGCAGAAGGAAGTCCAACACCGGAAATAGTTTGGGTAAAAAACAAGTAAGTCACTATCAACAAACGTTAACCAGTTTTCTTCATACAACCACATTTGAATTTAATGTAAATAAATTATTTCTCTAATATTTAAGTTTTATATGAAATTTTAAATCCAGTTCGCATTTGATCAGTATTGAAAAGCATCCTCATTTGTCCGTATGCTTCCAGAACGCAAATGCATACAAAACATATTGGATGCTTTAACATATAATTCAATATTCTATTGCCAACAGTCAAATACTGGACACAACAGAAGGGCGATACAATGTTCTAGAAGACGGTACACTTATGATCCAAGATGCACGAGATACGGACAGAGGATTTTACGAATGTATCGCCAGGAATACTGCTGGCGAGGTGAAAACTAATGCTGTAGAATTACGAATGAATGATCAACATCATCATCATAATCAAAATCATCACAATGATAATCATCAACATCAGAATCGAGATCATGGTCGACAGCTTAATAATCAGATTGAAAGACATCCTGGTCGCCGGCACGAGCAACCACGACATAATGGTATTCATATATTATGTGTTTAAATATTTTTGACGATATAATGTATACATGATTACAAACTTAAGTCTTTCATTTGACATTTTTCTGAATAGTTTCTAGATGTCACTGTCCATAATTTGCTTACTGTCTTCCTGAGATACATATATAAATAACCTGAAAAATATTAATAACCTGGGTCCTGTTGCAGTAATTGTTGACCTGCAAAAGGTCTACGTTGAACGTTATAACAAATTCTATTGCTAATTAGGTATCGAGTAATTATGCTGCACGTAACTTAGTTAAACAGTAGATATTGTGTAAAATGTTATCGCACTTCTGAAATTACATTGACATTTTTTATGATTAACAGTGGCACCAACTTTTCTTACCAGACCATCAGATGTTAATGCAGACCTTGGAGACACAATAGATTTGCCATGCTCTGCGACCGGATATCCTCAACCGGAAATCACGTGGACATTAAATGGGAACACAATTCGTCTTAACTCACGTGTAAGCTTAGTCGGTGGAGGTTTACATATAATCAGTGTACGAGATGACGACAGGGGAGACTATCGATGCCGGGCTGAAAATGATGAAGGAATAATAACTGCTTCGGCAAGACTAATTGTCCAAGGTAAATTGGTGCATAATTAGCCTTTATCATAATTTAACCTCAATTTCATATTGAACAACAGATATTAAAATTGCTACTTTGGGCATCCCCAGGGGACATTATTGTTCCCTCTTTTATTCTGCTTTATACAAATGGCTTACCTCTGTAATGGTGAATAGTTTTAACACCGATTTGTACGCAGAAGTTATATGGAAGTGACTTTTCCGTCGGAAAAATATAAGCAATGTTTTAGAATTTAAAAAAGGTTGAATATTGCTTTTTACTTAGTAATATGGCATTGATTACAAACAAACAGAAATGTGTAATTAAGGCTCTCTTTATAAAACCACATTTGATAAAATTAGGCCCTTGTCACCTTTTAATTACTTTTACAATTTCAATTTTAATGTTGACATTGTGCCACTACTCAGTTGCTATGAAAAGTTGTACATTACTAAATGCATTCTATATTTAAGTGGCCCCTCATTTTGTGTTACGACCAGTCGATATTATTCTACCAGAGGACAGCACTGCTGTGTTCCAGTGTGACGCAATGGGAGAACCAACGCCGCTAATTTCTTGGTTTAGAAATAGTAAGTTTATTTTTGAATATAATATCTCAAGTAAAGATCACAGACGAATGTCGATTTTATACGATTAACAAATAACTGTGGTCTCCTACGATATAAAAAGCCTCAATTGTATAACCCACCATTTGATGAATATGGAAAAACAATGAAATATAACAGCATAAAATTTCTCATCATATAATACTTATCCATTTTAACATTATCATTTCCACATTAATATCATATTTATTATATCATTAGAAGATTAAATAGAGAATATGTATTTACAGACGACCCGTTACCTAACAATGGTAGATTCCAGATATTAGACTCCGGTAGAACAATGAGAATCACCAGAATACAACCGTCTGACAGTGACATTTATGTTTGTAGAGCCGAGAGTGCAGCTGGAAGAATGGAAGCTCAGGCAGAGTTACAAATTTCCTCAAGAAGTAATTAATTAAATGATTTTAACTGTCTAAAAGTGGGACTTCTTTTTCACCATTTTCATGTTTAAATGTTGAATTCTGCTTAAGCCGGTGCTAGGGGGCGTAGACGGTAGTTTGCTCCATGAACAGGCTCAATCAAACCGAGCCTGCAATATTTTTTAATTTTGTTGTTTTATACTTTCTTTAGGGGTTCTTATTTTCTCAATTCTAATATTGGCGTTGCCGATTTAAAGTAAAATATCAAAAGATTAGCAATTAATCTAAGTATATAATACGACACAATCACAGTTCAATTGGCAGCTATATCTTATCACGTTTGTCATGAAGTACATATTTGGAGTGCAATTTTATGTAGTTTTTGCGAAAATTGTAGAATATAGGTATTAGATTTATGCCGACATTCTACATTTCAAATTTTGAGGTTTGATAATGTCAAAATTCGCCATTTTAAAACCAGGTTGTGGTCGTTGAGGTTTTTATCAATCCAAATCATCTTCTAATTGCAGCTGTCCCAAATTTTGGTCGAAGAGAAGTAGAGGAGAAATATGTGGAAGAGGGTACAGATGTGAGTTTAGACTGTACCCAAGATGGACAACCATCACCACAATTTAGATGGATAAAATCTGGTAACACTTTACGTAACGGAAGGAAATATTTAGTGGAGGGAAGTATTCTTACCATCAGGCGGGCTATAAACAGTGATGAAGGACTATACGAGTGTTTCGCGGAAAACTCATTAGGTTTTGCTCGACATTCAGTGAGACTGGTCGTGAGAGGTATAATTTTCCTACTAGTATTTCAAGCCAAATATATTTCTGAATAAAAGCATTGGAAATGTATCTAACACATGTGACTAATTCTACTCTACATAATATTTCTAAACATTCTATTTTGAAAATCAAACGATTTGGTAAAAATGAACTTGACAAAGACAGTTTGTCTCTGTTTGTATGTATGTCAATAACATGCTTGTTTATATTGAATGTGATTTCTGAGTATAAATGTATGTTGTTTATGTCTATAGATGCTGTTGTTAGACCAGGTGATCCTTTTGTAAATGAGGCAATATCATCAGCAACATCTCAAGTACAAAATGCTATCAACATTACGAGAAGCGAACTATTTGACAGAGGAAAAACACACAATGTCGAAGACCTTCTTTCTTTGTTCAGATATCCTTCCGCAGAAACGCTGGAAATAGCTCGAGCAGAAGAAATATTTGAGCAAACTTTGGAGATTATTCACAGACATGTTGCAGACGGTCATTCTTATAACTTGGAAGGAAATGGTTAGTTTAATTTAATAACACCATTTATTCAGTAAATTATTCAATTAAATAATAGGTTATTATTATCAAATTTATATAGATACCTTACCTATTAATTCATAATGTCTATGTTATTTTTTCTTTTATCATGTTTTAGAATTAAACTACCAAGAGATCGTTTCACCAGCTCATCTTTCCTTGATTGCGAATATGTCCGGATGTTTCCGCCGAAACTTACTACAAAAATGTACCAACATGTGTTTTCATAAGAAATATAGAACAATGGATGGCACGTGTAACAACCTACAGAATCCAAGCTGGGGATCCGCCAACTCTGCTCTGAAAAGACTTCTTCCGGCAGAATATGAAAATGGTTTTAACTCACCTAAAGGTAGGAACCAGATGTCAAATTACTCTTACATTTTCATAATGCTAATAAATGTCATATACAGCGGTGCTCAATTATTTGCTTGAAATGTGTTATTTTGATTTCTGCTGTCCTTTTTAAAATTTTCTTAACTTTTTATGTTCGCTTCTTCAGGCTGGAATAGAGCTCGATTATATAACGGGAAACATCTTCCAAGTGCTCGGTTAATCTCTTCAGTAATGATGACTGCTGACAGTGTGTCTACAGATAGTAAAGATACTCACATGGTGATGCAATGGGGCCAGTTTATTGACCATGACATAGACCTTACACCTCAGTCCGTTAGCCAGCATATATTTAACGATGGTCGACGTTGTAATGAGACATGTGAAAATAGCTTCCCTTGTTTCCCTATACCCGTCCCACCCAGTGATCAGAGAGTAAGGGGGCAGTCATGTTTAGGGTTCCACAGAAGTAGCGCAACCTGTAATACTGGGACCACATCTATATTTTTCAAAACATTTTCTCATAGGCAACAGTTAAATGCATTAACAAGTTATATCGATGGAAGTCAAATTTATGGTAGTAGTGATAGTTTAGCTGAGAGATTGAGAGACGTCTCTCATGAACATGGTCATTTATTGGTGGGATCTTTATATGAATCAGGAAAGCGACAGCTACCGTATGACTTCCATGGAATAATTGGACCAGCAGATTGTCAGATTGAGAGTAGTAAAAGATATATACCATGTTTCCTAACAGGAGATAGTCGGGCTAACGAGCATCTAGGCTTAACAGCTATGCATACTTTATGGATGCGCGAACATAATAGAATAGCTACAGAATTGTCAGATATTAATCCACACTGGGATGGTAATATGTTATATCACGAAGCTAGGAAGATTGTAGGAGCTATGATGCAACATATAACGTATACAGAGTGGTTACCAAAAATAATAGGTCCTGAGGGAATGAGAATGCTAGGAGAATATAAAGGATATAAACCTTCCGTTGAGTCAACAGTTACTAATGAGTTTGCTACAGCCGCTATGAGATTTGGCCACTCATTGGTTCAACCTGTTTTATTCAGACTAAACTCAACCTTTCAACCAATTTCCGAAGGCAATTTACCACTGCATAAAGCATTTTTCTCTCCCTATAGAATAGTGGAGGAGGGTGGAATTGACCCAGTTCTAAGAGGACTGTTCGCTCAAGGAGCTAAAATGAGAATGCCAAATGAAATCATGAACTCTGAACTGACGGAGAGATTATTTTCGTTGGCAAACAGAATAGGTAAATAACTGCATGGGGCATGTCTTGTATGTTTGTTTTTTCCTAAATCTTGTGAATAAATATTAATTTGCAAACTTTTATAACTTTTCTGTATAAAGAAATAGCAAATTTATGCAAACGGTGTTTGATTACCTCTAAAAAATATAGTTAATTAAGACAGAATAGGCGGTATAGATCAAAGAAGTTTAAATGATTTAACTAACTGGTAAGTTCGCCAATTAAATATCATTTGAGCCGCGTCACGACAAAACCAACATAATGGGATTGCGACCAGCATGGATCCAGACCAGCCTGCGCATCCGCGCAGTCTGATCAGGATCCATGCTGTTTGCTATATGTTTCTCTACTTGTTATAGAGTTTGTAAGCGAACAGCATGAATCCTGATCAGACTGCGCGGATGCGCTGGCTGATCTGGATCCATGCTGGTCGCAAACCCATCATGTTGGTTTTGTCGTGACGCGGCTCATCTTATTATTCAACATTTTGTGCATACAGGGCAGGATCTCGCTTCATTAAATATTCAGCGAGGAAGAGATCATGGTTTACCTTTCTACAATGAGTACAGAAAAATGATAAACTTGACAAATGCGAGATCCATCAACGATTTACGCAATGAGATACAAGACAGGAATACTAGAGAAAGTCTCGATCTCTTGTACGGACATGTTGGTATGAAACACACATTCTAATTATTTCATTCAGTCCATAGGAACTTTTTCAAGTACATTTTAAAATACATGTATATGTTCACATTGGAAAAAAAACTGTTAAATGTAAACATTTATAGAATGTCCCGAATGTCATTTTTGTTAGTAAAAAGAAGTGGACAGTTCGAAGGCTTACTTTTTTGATATTGCTAACATTTTTTCTTTAACCCACGTTTCATGTGTGATAATATTTTTTCCTGTTACATGTTTAAGTGTTAAAGCATTTATTTCATATTTTGTTTGTTTGTACTTTTTCAGATAATATTGACTTGTTTGTGGGCGGTATGGCGGAAACGCCTTTAGAAGGCGCCAAAGTCGGTCCAACATTTTTACATATACTTGTTGACCAATTTAAGAGATTGCGAGATGGGGATAGGTTTGTTTATTCTTTATGTTTTGGTGTTGTTGTTTTACAAACGATTTAAACCATTCTAATGTATGTATCCGCAATATATCAAATTCAGTTCTATTCTAATTTTTGTATCACATTGATATCGAAATGACCGAAAAGTGTTTTTCATAGAAAGGTCATTTGATATTATTTACAAAACTCTGTGATGCAAATAAATTTTGAATTACTCAACACTTTCATTGCATCCTTTTCGACGTCTGATTGTAAGAATATATGTATCTGCTCTTTAAATTTTCATACTCCATTTATTTCATATTTTAGATTTTGGTACGAGAATCCTATGGTGTTTAGTTCAGATCAGCTAGTTCAGTTGAAACAATTTTCTTTATCACGTGTTCTATGTGACAGTAGTGATTCAATAACACGTGTTCAACGTGACGTATTTTCAATGGTGCATTCACGTGACGAGTATATCTCATGTAGTGACATTCCAAAAATTGATCTCAAAATGTGGACTGACTGCTGTATGGGTGAGTTTATCCTGATGGTCGTCTAGAAAAGACTTTAGTAAAGCTAGTTTCATCTCGATCTGTTCTATAACACTTAGTTCCGTATCAATATTGTTATTTTTAACTGTGAATGATAACAAATTATCAATCATTGGTTCAGTAATTGTTTTGTTTTTATGGTTGCTGCTATCATGTGTTGATGCAATTTAGTACCGAACATTATGAGAGGTTTTGTTATAAGAAATATTTGTTTTTCAAAACAATTTTTACATTTAAAAAAATAAAATTTATTCAAATGCTATTGTTATTTTACAGACTGTGGGAAAGCAGGTGATTTTAGATCAATAACAAGTCATTTTAGAAGACGACGAGCACATGACTTCAGTTACCAGTCAGACAGTGCCAGTGATGGTGAAGCGTTAGAGATGCTTGAAAACATCCGTGAACAGATGTACAACCGACAGGAAATCGATATTAAGATGCATGACATGGAAAACAGGCTTAAAGACATGCAGGGCATCATGCAGGCCATGGACCATTCTATGAAGAAAATGAAACGAAATGTAAATACTTACAATATTATAATAGTGATTGTGCAAAATGTTAAGATATCGTTTAACTGAATAGTAGTATAGGCTTGTATTAATTTCTCGAAACATTTTACTGCAATGATAATATTTGTAATGATGCTTGATTATTCTTAAGTCTTGATGTTTTCTTGCTGCTTCAGATGCGTACAATGATGAGTCACTCGGCACAAGATTTAATGTGTATGGACAGTGATGGACAGAAACATCCACATGGAGATAAATGGAATAAAGATGATTGTACAAGATGTAAATGTAGAGTAAGTAGTCGATATACCTTTCAACATAATTCTTCAATTTGGTGTGGACAATGGTGTGGACCATGCTAGGTTGAAATTGTGGGAAACTGATGCATTTAAATGCATGCCAATAGATGTACATTATATATTAATTCATTAAATGTAATATGACAATTCCTTCGGTATTTGGAGCAATGTTCAGTATTTCCCTTTCGTCATAAGTTTATTATAGATATATTACGCTATGTTGTTGATCACATGATGATTTTTAATTATCTAAACAGACAAAATCCTAGCTTTAAGTTAGGGGAATTATAAGAGTACAATAAAATGACTTTCTGATGACTTCGTGAACATGGTTTTAATCCTTTGTAATCTGCTGAATTTATGCAATGGTCCTGTCCTACGTTGCATTTGGAACAGTCCATAAAAAAGAAATAAGGGATTTCAATATCAAAATACAGACAAATAAGCTGCTAAATATAGTATAGAGCCAGGCTAGCCTGCCTATATGTGCAGTTCGTCTGAGACAAAATCTACCAGCATGTTAGATGGTTATAAAATATGCATGTAATTAAGATGACAGCCGTGTTCTTTCCTTTCAGATGGGTAAAATTAGATGCAAGACAAAAACTTGCTCGACACCAAATTGTGCTTTTCCAAAGAAGATGGCAGGACAGTGTTGTATGATTTGCTGACACGGACTTTCGTCTCTAGGTGTACAATTTTAAATCTACACAAAGTGTAATAAAACACAAGGTGTATACACATGCATCGGACATCTGTGTATGCAACTTCAATACGCAATATGATATTATGTATGGAAGGTCTTTCAATAACGCAGGAGCGAAAAATTATTCTGTTTAAAAAGACCTCTTGGATAAAGATGTCGCCTCAAAAACAATAACTTTTTACACACAAAATAATAAAATAATTATTCCATTATATTTTTGATTTTGTGTTATCCTTACTTGTGTCGATTTGCAAACCCTGTTGTAACAACATATAACTTAATATATTGTCAGTTTGACAACTTACATTTGAAACGAAATTATACATCAGCCAAAATTATGAAATTCTATTAAAACGTTATTTGCACAAATGAACAAAATTTGGTGTCTGCTCATCGACAAACGTTGTGTGAAATGCTCTCCCTTGTGATAAACGTCGTCAGGTACAATAAATATTTATTTTTATTGCATGAAATCCAGAATAATTAGACTAGTAGTAAACATTATACATGCTTCTAATCATATACTCTTAAAAAGGAAACTTTTTTACTCTTTGGTAAACGTTTTGTATGGTATGGCGTTCGTACATATGTAAAATTAATGTTTAGTGATTAGATCTGATTTTTGAGACTATTTTGTGTGACGTTACTGAACTATGTCTTAAGATTGATGAATTTGATATAAGTGCTCCTTTATACCGCATTAGTGTGAACATGTGTACCATTATTATGATTTTGTATGTTTTTGCATTCTACATTTGTATAACAAAGCTGCTTTTAGAAATTACTGTATACATTTAGCACTTATATTTTATATGAATGAAAGGATATGTGCATAACCATTTAAATAGGGACATACCAATATAACATGATTACCAGAAAATGTCTCCGTCTGACTTCTGTAAAAAGGTGTAGATTACTGAATAATATTTTTTTGGATAGACAGAGATTGAGATATTTACTGATGTAGTAAGTGACGTCGTTCAATTTAGAACGTAAATCAACTCCATGTTTCTCTGTCTGTAATGCTTTCTTTCTGGAATATATTTGTTTATACAGATGTGATGTTGGCATAGGAAAATTATTTCTGTTTCTTTTTTCCTGTTTTCTTCTCTTTTTTAAGGACGTGACTTACAAATTCAAAATGTAGTTAGTGTACATTTTAAATAAATTTCATATAAACATCGTTTCATCCACGACCGAAAACGTATGCGTCAGATGCCAATACATTTGAACCAAAATTTAGTGTGTGTTTTTTTAAAGTTCTTTTTCATCTGATATATTACTTATTTTATAATCTATGTAATATGCTTATGGTCATTTGTTCAAAATTAGAATCGTTTTTCTTGTTATGTTAACATAATATTCTATTTTTTGTATATTTACTTTTTCTTAATGAGATTATTTTTCTTTGATTTCAAACTCATTTCATTCCGCAGAATTTAGCGCATTTTTCATCTTTTTTCCTATATTAAATAGATTCAATAAATAAATCAATGCCACCTGTTTTTGATTTAGGAATTTTGGTTGTATACTTCTAATTTTCATACGAGTGAATGTCTTGTCATTTATATGTGTTTGTATGAGAGGCTTTATACTGTATATTTCGCTGTATGATTTGGCCAGTAGGTGTGGTAGGCAGTTAGTTTAGATTTTAATGTATTATTTACAGCGTAATAGCCATTTGATAAATATTTTTAAGTATTACTGTAAATTCTCATCAAATGAGGATTGAACCTTTCATGTTGAAATCTTTCCTTGATGTAGAAAATGATATATCGCAGTTAATGGTGATTCAACACTTGATGACCTCAGTAACTTCATCTACATAGAATGACACAATTTACAATCATGATATGTTTTAACATGTGTATACGTTAGCTATATTTCTTTTAGAAGCCTTTTTATATTTCATCTTTTAAATACATTTTGAAAAAAATAAATAAAACTGAAATATCACTATAATGCTTTAGTTGTTTTTGTATTTATTTCTCGCTTGTTTCAAGTAACTCACATATTGCACGGTAAGTCAATCCATCTCCTTAATAAATTATAGGATATCCTTGTTTACTGGTAGAGGATGTGCAATGTTTCTCATCCCAATAAACTGACACTATTGACATTACGGTATTAGAAACATGGTTAATAATGTTGCTCTTCCAGGAACAAAACGTTTAGCAGTTAGGAACCTTCACTTGTCCCTTTCGCTCGGTGAACTGCTTAGATTTTAAGATTCTGCTGATTACCAGCTATAGAATACATAAAACATGATAGTGATAAATGTGTATGGCGGAGCGCCCAGAAGCAAATAAAATGACGTAAAGAATTACAATACATGTAAAGCCGATAAGTAACTTGTATGTTCAAGACTCATACCCTGAAAAAAATAAACCCGAAAAAAATAAACCCGATGCAGCGGGAATCAAATGGATGAGATAAACCACCCTCAGTACATTATATTATATATTGTATACTTTATTGTTCAACAGTTATACCCTGACAAATACATGGTATTCGTAAAAAACGGTCTTTTTTCTATCAATCGGAGTCAAAAGAAATAATACCATATATCTCTAGTTTGGAACAATATGCTATATACTAATAGACAAGAGAACACAACTGTTTTTTCTTGTGAATAAATCATGAAATTGAACCCCATTAAATATGTATAAATATAAAGGGACGTGCTTTGATTTTCTAAAGACGAAAAACTTTTATTCTGAAGAAACTGAAAGGTTGATCAAAATTTTTTTAAATTGACGTACTTTCAAACAAAAAGTCATAGAAAGCGACGAAAATATTATTTATTTGGCATGAGTAATAAGAAATGAGATAAAAAATGATGGAGTGTCCAGAAGCAAATAACATGATATATGGAGATAAAATGCAGCGAATTTAATAACCCTAACTACGAAATATTAAAACACAAACGTGAAACGTATTGAAACGTATGTGATAGAGTTCCAACCATTCAATAATATTTAAACTATTTATTTTAGGAAAATATAATATTATAAACAATAAAAAGACATGCCAATGTGTCAATGTTTCTAAATTGTCATGGATCTTCCCCTAACTACATTGTATCAAGTATATCCTGTTATTGGCGATAGTTCTACAAATATCATTAAATTATCAAAGTAAGGATAACATTATCAATGGAAGACCGATACCAATTTAACAACACTAGCACCTGCAATAGATGATAATGTTTTGTTTACAGTGTCAACTCTTGTCATTAATATACTGTAAACGTTATAATGTAAATATAAATTTAACTTATATCCTAAATTCATTGAGCACGATTGGAAATGGAAGCATTACTTTCTAAAATAGAATTAGTGTTGTTGTTTTCATTAATTACCTTTTCACAAGGAGGTAAGTTTTTGCCAGTTTTATTGTTCATTAGTACTTGATGTGTCGGTATTTTACCTATTTCTTTAACCTAAACACCCTGAATATACATTGCATTATATTAGAACAATAAGTTTTAACAGGATTAAAGCAAATTTAAGTAAGAAATGTAAGAGAAAAGTAAGAAATATCATCCAGAAATATTTCTTAACGTATTATTTCAGATAATACTATATTAATGGATAACAAAACCCACTTTTAAAGTGGGTTACATACACCGGTTACAGAAAAAGCCATTAAAAGATAAAATGTAAGAATGAATAGTACTCCCTAAATTCTGCTTAAATACAAAGGAATGCCATGGTAATACATATTATATTTTCATAACTTATTGTAATTGTAATGATGGAAACATAAAAATAGACCGTCGTAGCAGGCAATTAACCAGATTATAATATATAGACCTGTTTTTTAACTCCATGCTGCACGTTTTGTTTTACAGATTCTCTATTCTCAATTGAATGTAGTCACACGTTTGATCTAAATCTTAATCTAGCTCAGATTTTAGATCTAAATACCAGCACAAATATACGAATAATTAACTCCTACACATCTGAGATCTTTGTCAAGTCGCCATGCTGTCAAAACATCACTTTCGTCTCTAATGGAATAAAATGTTCATTGTGCTCTGAAAATGGGATAAAAGTGTGTAATATTTCTGAAGAAACGATTCATATCAGCAGTATTAAAAATGCGGAGTGTGAGATTAGGTCCGATATAAATTTATCCTGCACGAGCCGGGTATGTCCATCCAGAAATAATACAGAGAATAACGTGGTGTTTAGACCAGGAGAGGAGACTGGCTGCTTGACTAACAACAAAACATACACGTGTACTAAATACGGAAACTGGACAGACGCAAGTTGTTCACACGAAGGTACTGTAAACTTGAATTTTGTTGTGATTAATGCCTCCGAGGGATCACATTGTTTCCAGATATTTAAACGGCATACTGCTTACGTGATATATAGTGTTAAAACAATATTGCTTAAGCCGGTGCTGGGGGCGTGGACGGTAACTTGCACTTTACAGTATCATCCATGGACAGGCTCAATCAAACCGAGCCTGCAACCTCAATTTTACCGTGCTGGGTTGTATTTAGGGATTCTGTTTTATCTATTTGGTTTCTATAAATATATACTATAAATGTATACTTGTTTAAATATGTAATGCGTTTGTTAGTTGTTACATGACTATTGCAAAAATTAAAGTGTTTGTCAGTGTTGTCTTTTATAACTATAGCAACCTTTAAACACTACAATGAACAAATATTTAATATAATAGCTATAACGTGCTTTTGCTAACAATTTATACTTGCTCATTAGATTATTTGATATATTTCTGGTCATTAAAATGACTTCAGTTTCAGTATTCTTAAAAATATCAATACTTACAATTCAACTTTTTATCATAATTGTTCATACTGTTTTATACCTTATAAACCATATTGAATAACAAACTTTACTGACGTCTACTCTTATATCAACAAATACGCCACTGTCAACAAACACAGAAGAGACAGCCACATCTGTAAACACCACAGCAGAGAACAACGTGGGCAATGACATCACAACAGTTGATACGACAACACCATATGAGCTGTCCAATACAACTCTTCAAAATACACTCTATAACATAGATACATTGATGAATGGACCCGATGTGTCAAATGGTAAAATCAAAATAATAACTTTCAGCTCTGAAAAAGTAAATAAAATAAGTAAAACTGATGAAATATGGGACAGATAAGGATTACTAAATATTTCCATTGCTTTGTTGTCTATCATAAACTTTTACATATTTTCTGATCTTTTATAACTGTCAGAAAATATCATGATTGCATTACCAATACGATTGTAGTTAGAAACAAAGTTATCAGAAATCCTGCGTGCCACAGTAGCAGAGTGGCAATGGTTGCAGATGTTTTTACTTAAATTAATATTACCTTTTTTCATGCCAACAAAATGTATATTCTTTTAATCTTATATTTGACTGATGCACCGCTTTACCAAAAGCACCGCTTTACCAAAAGAAAAAAATGTCTGTGTTTTAAATTTATAAAATACTACTGTAACACTTATTAAAGCGTTTTAAATTAGTCGTTGTGCATTGATTTTTTATTATCATTCTGGTTTTCAGAAACTGTAACAGAGAAATTCGAACCGGCAGAAGCTATGAAAGGTATAAGTTATAAAAAAGTTTTAAACTTAAAACAATCTTCTTTTTACAATGCACATAAAAAGAATTATCAGCAAGCACTCAATTACTTTTGTTCATTTTTGTTTTATTGCCTTCTCTTTTGTATTGTCTTGTTTAACAAGTTCATGAAAAAATACTTTGGTGTTATATTTTTACAGCTTTATATACGTTCCTCATTGTCCTGGGTGTCGTTCTGGTACTGGTTACTATTCTAGTTTGTGGTTTCTTCATAAGGTCAGTCCTTCTTTTCTATTCATTGAATATGCCTAATCGCTATCATAGAAACTTTTTAATATATTACACTTTTAACTGCGTATTTCTCACTTTACACGTTTGTAACATAAAGATCACCAGAAAGCCGTGCAGAAGTCCCATTACGCCCGCTAAAACAAACTCATAAAGATTTGATTAAATTGCATTGAATATCAATAAATAAATTGGCATTGTCATTGTCATTGAATTGTGACAATAGCATATACTGGCTTGCTTCTATATTTTTGTCTGTATGTATCTAATGGTGAGATACATCATATTGATAATACAATGCAATTTTAGGTTCAATAACGTTAATTGTTCATGCTTAGTTTTTAAATAAATCTGCACTATATATTTCAGGAAAAAGAAAGATAAAGTATCGATCAGTCATGTTGACTATCCTCTAGAATACTGGAATGATCGAGAATATATTGATAACATCGTAGAGAAACGATACACGCCGAGTTCTACGTTCACCGTCAATCCTGTCTTTGACAATAAAAGCTATGGTCAAACTAGATATAAGAAAAAGGAGGAATCAGATTATAAGAAACGAAAAGGCACGTCTACTAAAGACCAGATCAGTGGTGGAAACGAGAAACCAAAGAGATCAAATGCTTTTAGAACTGTTTCTAATGGTTCTGCGTCTAGTAACACCGATCGTCCGAGGAAAACAAAGCATGATTATACTGACAAATACCTAGCTACTGCAACAGGAAGTAACTTTTACAACTACAATCCGACACAGACGCAAGACGTTGTCAAGAAAACTACAGACCTTGATGTATCTACGGAGGACGAATGTGACCGAGCACGTGGCCAAACTGACCAATCAGGAACAAGTTCGTTCACATCACCGAAAATAAAAGGAAAACAGAAAGGAAAACATGCTTCAAAAGGAGCTGGAAATGATGAGTGGAACGAACATTGTCCTGATGTTATTGAAGACAATCTGTATTCAATGAGCTATAAGGAACATCTCCGTCGCAGTCTGGATTACTGGTCAGCTGAGGAATCAGATGCTTAGATTTGTCTAATCAAAGTGATAAACCAGACAACACTTAAATGTGACAATTGCAAATATTTTTTATTATAATTGCAAACATCTATTTCTTTAATTATTAACCATTATTGAAAATGTTTCCTATATTAATTCATGATATTTAAATGTATATCGAGTACATAATTTCAATTTCAAGATATTTTAAGTTTTACAAGTTTGTTATCATAATTATTTTAAAGAATGTTATTAAATTATATATACTCTTGTCAAATAAAATTATTCAAATGATTTAGTTCATTTGCTAATTAAACAAAACAACTTCCTGAAATTTAATGCTATCACTTGACAGATATTTCACATCAATTATCATATAATTCGGTATTATGTAGTTAACATCGAAAACATTTTAAAATATGCTCTTATTAAAGCATGATATCTTATGACAAGATGGAATAATACAATGTCATTTGAATGAATAAGAAATTCCCTTAACGTTATCAATTTTATATTTATCAAGAAATAATGACATCACCTGTTAAATGGTACACCTGTCGAAAATATTCATAATATCATATCGGAACTTTGAGACATCTGCTCTGTGATAAAAGATATAAAAATATTTCTTTTTCAACTGTTGATAATATTTTATCGTATCAATGTTTTGCCATTGGAAAAGAATTACACACAAGAACTGAGGAAAAAGTCAATACAATTTATATATCTCCATTTTAAAAAAGACAAAACACAACAAGGAGATGTTTATTTTAATAATACTAGCAACTTGTTACGTTCTTCACACTGTTTATTCTGAAGGTAAGATTATTTTCTCTGCCTTTACTTACCGTCCAATATATTTATAAATCTTGTTATATTTGCTGAAAACAAAATGTCATAAATGTTGATTATTTCAAAGATTGCATATTTGCTTTGTATTTTATACATTTACAAATCATGTAATTTTCTTTTTTTGTCATATAAATGTCACATGCTGTTAATAATGTGACACATATCACTTATTTCAGATATATGCGATAGGGTCAACATAAAATATTATATTGGAAGAACAACGCCAATTCTAAATATTCCTGCAGAAGAAATATCTCAAATGCATGCGTCATGTTACAAAGAAGTCATAATTCCTGGCGCTAACAGAATACAACTGCGTGTTCAAGAAGCTGATTTTGGTTTCAATAAAGCATACATATATAATGGCTTAATTGGAACAGGCCAAACCCCCGTTTATGATAAGATAGAAATGTATATTGGAAATTGTTCAACCTTTACTAAAAAGATAGAGGTAAAAATAGGATTACAAGCGGAGTTTCATTCAGAAATTCTGTGTCTACATATTCAGCCTGAGGTAAAATATAGAACCCTGGGTGCACATATACCTGGCGGAAGAATTCGAATAGATGTTAGGGTCGACATCGCCATATGCCCAGGGTTGATACATCTTGATGAAAGAACGTGCCAACCTTTGTGTACTAAATATGGAAAGCTTCATAACTGCCAAAGAGGTATAAAATGATTTTTTGCATTATCATTTTGAAAACAAAAATAATATTTTTTTGGCAATTTCTTTTCCATTTTTAAAACTAGCATCTGGTATACAAAATAATTCAGCAATATATAGATATATACATGGTAAATAAATGAGTTAAATTTAAGCGACAAAACTACTGCGTACTTATTCGAATTATGCACCATTAAAATAATTTTGATTGTAGATTCAGGATCTACTATGCCATCAACCATATCTGTTATACAATCATCGACAATGCAAACATCGTTTACCAAAGCAACGTCTTACTTTACAACTATTGTGGACAACACGCCATCTTCAACAGATACAACATATTTGACAACAACAGTTAGAACTACGACTATGTCTGCTGTCAAAATATTATCGTCGCATGGCGCAACATCTACGGAAAGCATCCAGTATCCTAAGAGCCAAACCTTTCAGACCAAAGTAATAAACAAATTAACATCGGCAAACCCTACATATAGTACACAAAGTGGTCAAAATGAGACGTTACCACCTGTCACTGCAAGTACTTATAAAATGGTGACTAGGTACAGGTTTGAGACAGGGAAACCCAGCACCTCTACTGTTGTAACCACACAATCTCATGATGGTAATTCGCAAGTGGATCACGGAAACCCAAATTTTGGTAAATTTTACAATAATTTTAAAGCTTTAATTGTTTCTTGTTCTTGTACATGACTGATCAGATACTCAAATTTCTCTTTACGAGCATTCTCATACTAAGAAACATTGCAATAGGAAAGGAAAGTTCATTCTGCATTGATGCTTTGCCTAGTTCATACGATTTCTATTGAAAATTACTACGTAAAAATTTGATTAAATGTGAATAAAGTATGTTTTTTTTAATTTATATTCCGGCTCATTTACATCGGTAAGTAACCCATTAGAAATCCGACATACTATAATAAAAGAAAGTACAATTGAAATAAGTGAAATGCTACTTTCCTAATGATACATTGTTGTTTTATAATCCATATTTCATCTTTAACCTTCAACGCTACTGAGAATGCTATACGTAGATATTCACATATAATGACATAAACATAAGCAAGTGTCAAGATTGTTGTTATTTAATAACATTTTTTATATTTAATGTCCTTATCATGTTGTACTTTGTTTATTGAAGGTTTACTGGAAGGATTATACGTCATAGCATCCTGTATTGTTATATTGTTGCTATTTGGCATAATAGCGTTCCTTGTGTAAGTGCATTATAGCTAGTTTAACATGAATATCCTAAGTATGCCAATGAATATACAAATATATTACGTACAAGGTATTATTATATCGTATGTAAATATGAATATGTATACCAGGGTACTATCTTTAACTATATTTCATCTTAACTATTCAAATAGATTATTCCTAAGTATTCTCTCTTTTCCCCCGTTACTATTACTCTTTAATTCATACTTATTTGTTTAAGTTTAGCATTTTTTAAGGTTTACATATATGAAAAAGTACATGTACTTAAGTTGATGCCTACCAAAATCGCCAAAATATCTATGAATATTATTATATTTTTTATATATATGCAATAACCTCAATCTTAATCTTATGTAAATGAGTTAGCGGAATAAAATATATATGTAATGGATGATAGTTAACCAACCGTTTCTCATGATTCATAAAATGACATTTTTTCTTCTTACCATAGACGGAAGCGAAGGAAACACGACTCAACTAATGGATCAAACTCGGCTGCAGCATTTAGGACTGGCCTTCGCTGGCGAGACAATTGGCTTATTCGTTACCATAATAATGAAACAGACGGTGATAGTTTTAGCCAACCAGAGAGCGAGATTCAATACGTACATACCAATTATCTTAACCAATCAATTGATACACAATTTCTAGATCAATCAGAGTACCCAGAGGTTAAAAAGAATAAAGTTAGCGATGACCTATATGATAATCCATGGCCTTTAGTAAGGCTAGACTCGGAATTTGTAAGGAATGCTAAAAAGGTAGAAGGCGGCAAGGAAAACATTGAAATCATTAGAAATCTTGATAGCGAGCAAAATCGTTCTGATAATGATGATGAAAGTTCGTATGGTTATGAATATGGAAATGAAAACTTAGCAATAGAAATACCTAATTTAAATAGCGTTCAAAAGAAAATAGAAACAAACAAAGAAAATGACAAGCATCATAAACATAATTTTACAAAACACCTTTGTCCTCCAATGTCATCTAAAGGCAAATATAATGTTGAAAAGGTAGAAAGGTCCAATTCCACGAGAAATAATTTTATAAAAGAACAGACTATAAATGAGATGAAATCATATGTTACTCAAGTGGAAAAGGACCGTAGTAAATCAGAATCGTATTTAAGTCGACCAGAAAACAATAAGAAAAGACGCACGAGTCAAAGAAGTTCGTCAAGTATGCACAGTGGCCACTCTTCTACATTTGAAGAGATGATGAGAGATGAAATAAAAATCATCGAAGATGCAATGGACATGAAAGACAATGAAGATATAGAGAGTGATGGAATCGACCGCAAATACAGAAATGACACCAAAAAAAACTGGAAAGTAAATACTTTGTATGCGGTTGTGTCTTCGAGGAACAAAATACCGTCTCAAGATGTCCTAATTGCTAGAAAACCTCTGCATAAACTTCAAGTCGATGGAATCAGTCGTTCAGAATCTTACAAAAAGATTGACCCTCAAAATACAAGCCATTGTTATGAGACCAAAGATATGAGGCTAAAAAGGAGCAATAGTTCGCAAAAATCATGCAATATCAAGCAGTTGAAAGAGTCCAGTCGAGGTTTAGAGGACATACAGCCTATACAAAATAATGGCAGATCCCACAACACATATACAAAAACAATCGATTGTAACGTTAAATGTAACGAAGACAATCCGATGTTTGAGAGTGCAAATGAGAATAATAGCGATTCACGTGGTCAGCTTGTCGATATACAGAGCGAACATTTTGGTGTTGAAAACACACACTTATCAAGAAATATGTTTCTGGAAAACAGACAAAAATTTGAAGATAACGGGTCAATAATGCAGAACAATAATGGAGCAACAGGAACGGGTCAATTTCCAAAATAACTATTTAATGATATTCAGTCATTCAATTTATTTTACTTAATAAACTCAAACAAAGTTTACACTTCTTATCTTTTGTTTAGTTGTAATTTCAAAGAAAGGAATTTTATTATTTGCTCGTATTTGTCATTGCAATATACATTTAACAATGATTTCATAACTATGTATAGTATGTAGCTATTAGTACAGTTTTTAACAGAATTTGTTGAAAATACTAGTCTCCCTCAAAAATTCATTTCTCATCAAATCATATGAAAACTCGTTTACACGTAAAACAACTCATTTTCTTCTTTAAGTAGAATAAATGGAATCCACAGTTTGGTGACTTGAAACACGCTATTATTTCATTTGTATCCTAGTTTTGGGACCTTTCTGTTGAAAATGTGTCATCGTTAAATCGTATACATGTACATGCACAGTGCGTTAACTGGAGTGCAGGTATTAGTTACCCGCACTCCAGAGCATGCCCATTGATTGGCTCATTTTTGCTGGGGTTTACTTATTGTGACGGCAGAGAAAGGAAAAGCGATAGAAATATCAAATTCAGATGCTCGTTCATTGGTTACTTTTTTCTGGGGTTTCGTAATGTGACAATAGGGAACGTGTTTTTATGTTTGACTATGATACAAAAGAGAAAGAACATCAAAACACTCGGCACTCACGAACGGGAATCCGAACAGAAACACCGACAATCCGTTAGCTAGCTGGATAGTTTCCTCACATGAAAGAATACAAAGTCCCTGTCGGGATTCAAACCCACAGCGGTGAGGGGCAAGTATTTTAAGTCAACAACCTTAAGTACTCGGTCACGGACGCCCCAGAAGTATTCAAGTTGAGGTGTACACACGCACGCGCATGTACACCCACGACGCGTGTCCCGACTGCTATAAATACTGATTTCTGCAAAAAAAATTCAGCTCAATTCAAGCAAACAATATTTACTAGTTCCATTATCACTTCAAACTCATGTGACAGCTTGCAACATTAATTCTATCATTTAATTTTTGTTGAGTCTCCAACCTACGCCAATATCGATGCTAATCTTGCATGCTGTATTATTTCCAAGTTGTTTAGCCGATTACCGGCATGCATACAACAGTGTAGACATGAATGTGTGCATGTCTTCTGAGCTACACTTAACATTTTTTCCCTATGTTTATCCAAATTTCTGACTGAAGATACTTAGCTTTATACTCAACCAATTTGTAAATCATGGGAGTCAAAGAACTGGCAAATCTTAGTTTATTAACCCATTGATACTCTGTATTACCCAGTTTATTGGTTAACTAATTGCTTTAAGTAAATTTAATATTCAAAGGATTATGATAATCTATATTGAAAGCATCCATACTGAACAGGGAAATTTTTTACCAGCTCATGTAGAAACCATCTTCGTATAAGGACTCATGACACTAGTGCTGAAACCTAATGTTGATTTAGCACAGAATAATGAGAATTGAGCAACAAATACTATGTTATGCTATGTATCCTTAACTTCTTGGACCATTTGTTTTCCTAAGATAAAACAAGTACGAAAAGTGTAAATAAATAATTTAATCAATTTATTGGAACAAAACATCTTCAATTTCATTTTCTCAAATAAATGTCTCTTTCAGAGAGTTCATGACAGAATCTCCACTTCATGCAATCCCTTTTTTTATGACAGATAACTAAGTGAACATTTATACTCATTGCAGCATCATTAAGCACTAGTGTTATGCACATTATCTTTCGGAAAGGAATATATATTTACTTGATTAAAAAGGCAAGTATTAATTTTATGACATTTATATAATGGTTTTACAGCATATTCGATGCTGGTCACCTGAAGAAAGTATGTGAAACAGTATTCTTCATTTATTTTATATCAAGGTCATATTACAATCATCTTAATAGAGGACAACTAGAGAATGTCACATACCAAATATCAAAGCTGTAGGGTTTGTGGTTTTTGACAAGAAGTTTTTAAAGATTTTTTTAATCGAAAAGCCCCGCCATAGGGGCAATATTTAAACAATCTTTGTATGTTACATACTAAATATCAAGACACTACGCCTTGTGGATTTTGACAAGAAGATTTTTTAAGACTTCCCTATATAACTTTACATATAACCGATGAGCCCCCTGGCAGGGCCCCTTTTGACCCTAGGGGCATAATTTGAACACACTTTGTAGAGGACCACTAGCTCATGTTAAATACCAAATATCAAGGCTCCTCACCTTGTGGTTTTTGACATGAGGATTTTTTAAGATTAAAAAAAAAATCTTTGGGTTGCAATGGCAACCAGAGTTCTTCAAGGAATTTAATTCTTTTAACAACTTTGGTAGAGTTTCATGTAAGGAACATCCCATTCCCTGCAAAGTTCAACAAATTTGGCCAAGTGGTTTAGGAGGAGAAGTTGTTTAAAGAAATTGTTGACGCACGGATGGACAATAGACGACGGACAATGGGCCATCACAAAAGCTCACCTTGATGACATTGTCCTCAGGTGTGCTAATAAAAGCATTTCTGGTAAAATGGACCTCATGACTAAATCTGATAAAGTACAATTATTGAAATTAACGTTCAGTTTACCAGAGAATCATACTTAACAGATTTTGTGTACAGAGGAGACAGTATTGTTACCTTTTCTCTTTATTAAAATATCAGTGGTAGTATATATATACTACACACTAAAACATGTGCATAGTTCACTAAAGCTATAAAGACCTATTAATTGCTAGCAGAGGAGTATTTTGAACATATTTTATCTAAAGAGATCAGCTAAGAGATTAGCACACTCTCCAACCTTCTTAGGATTCTGAATCATCACATATTCTCCTACATAAGGCATTACATTCATTGACTGAGCTAAATTTAGAACGCTTTCATCCTTGTGTATAAGCGTTCCCATGGCAATAAAAATTCGGAAAGCTGCTTCAATATCTGGCTTAACTTTCATGCACTCCATAGCAGCAGCAAGAGTTTGTGACTTCCCTTCCAGATCTAAAGTACCAAATAATCCAACTGAATAATTTAACAACAAGGTGCCAAGAGCAATTTGAACATTTTTGTTTTTTGACTCTTTAAGGTTAAGAGCTCGAGTTAATGTTCTGTCTCTATTATCCATGCATAGTTTGAACCCCTGTGGTTGAGCAAACATGTTGCATACCACTTTCAAACTAAGGATCTGTGTTGGAGCAGAAGATTCATCAGACCAATATTTGAACATTTCTTCAAGGATATTTGTTGAGACACAGAAAGCTTGGTTGATTTCTTGCTTTTTGATAGTGATTCTAAGAACATCTATGGCAGGAAATACAAAGTCTGAAAGTAGAAATTATTACACCTTTACACAAAGCCTTCAAATACAATAGCAGAGCAATATATAAACAAACTACAGTTGTACCCAGAAGAAAACATCCCTGATAAGTATTGTATTACTTTGAAAGAACTTCAGTACATTTCACAGGGTGTAAAATTATAGCTCATGAGATATACTGTACAATGTTAAACATCTGTAGCATCACTTTGTTATCATATTGTTATGGTCATTTCTGGAGAGTCTTTAACTACAATATACATGAAATACATAACAGAATGGTATACACCTTCCCTAGCAAAATATTCTACTAACTACTACTTCAGTAGGTTTATTGATGATTTTGTATGTTAAATCATTCTTTAATCCAGACACTTCAATTGAATAAGAGCAGGTCCTTTTAGGAAATTTAAGTCAAAAAGCATTTTTTTTGTCAAAATGTGTGGCAGAGTTCTGCTGTCTTGCCTTAGAGAAAAGGTCAAACATAAGACTTTTTTTCATAAACTTACTAGGTGGCCATTCTAGTGCAGCTTTTAGTGTGTTGAGATCATCATCTGAGGGCAGTGTTTCTTTCATTATTCCTTCTAGACGTGCTAGTCTAGTCTCGTCTATCTTCTTATCACCTTCTATATTGTTGTTAAACTCTTTTAATTTACCTGCAAACATAATCAAAATCTTATGATACTATCCCTTCAACTAAAAGGAATTTCTTTCCATTAGTACAATAATTTGATTTTCAGGATCTTCTTCAATGTGCATAAAGGTAAAAAGGTTGGTATTTTGTATAATTTCTTCTGTTTCCATTAGTTTCAGTTTGTAACCATAAATTTATGTATTTTGCCTTTGCCTTTCATAAAATATCAAAAGGTGGACTGGTGCTATTCACTACTTATATGTTCCAACATTTTATTTCATTACTTACAAATAATCTTATGGCCAATACTTATTAATGATTCTAAAATGTCTTTAATATAAATCTCAACCAACAGCTTAACATTTTCAAACATTAGTATCTTACCCATAATGGCCTCTGGATTGGCAGCATCAAATGTTAAAGTCAGTGTCTTAGGGAAATATTCATTGGTCTTGGATAAGTTTGGATTAACTGTACCGGTAGTATAAGCACCTGGAAGCAAATAGAAATATGCGCCCTGACAAAACCAACATAATGGGTTTGCGACCAGCATGGATCCAGACCAGCCTGCGTATCCGCGCAGTCTGATCAGGATCCATGCTGTTCGCTATCAGTTTCTCTACTTGTAATAGAGTTGGTAAGCAAACAGCATGGATCCTGATCAGTCTGCGTGGATGGGCAAGCTGGTCTGGATCCATGCTGGTCGCAAACGCACTATGTTGGTTTTGTTGTGACGCTGCTCATATATCCTAGACATGTAAACTTAGAATTCATAAAAACTGGCTTTTAACAATAAGCTGGTACTTGAAATACATAAAAAAAAAATGTTATTTTTTAAAACAATTAAGTTATTTTTCTATAAAACTTGATGTTTTTGTAAACATAATGTTAAAATGACCTCCTATATAAACTAATAGGATAAGTTTTGCATTTAACATTGCTCATCGATGCTATATTAAAACATAGTTTAGTCACTTAGTTAGATAATCTAGATGAAATATCCTAAATGACAAAAGTCTATCATTACAAACATAACAAAATAAATCTTTAGTAACACTGACCACTTATCCCACATAGGTATGCTCAAAATACTTTCAATATGTAGAGGATATTGAATAAGTGTAAGTTTAATACTCAATTTATTGAACAAGCTGAATAAGATCATATAATGCGAGCCTCTGTTGAGCATATTATTCTATTCAACCAGTTCAATAAATCCAGTAATGAACTTGCACCAATTTGATATTCTATTTATCACATACTACAAATAAAGACCGTTTGAAGTGAAAAAGAACCATAATTAAACCATAATGTTATTTTAAACAAGCAATTATCATAGTATTGCAAGCAATCCATAAGTCCCCTACCGGTTAGAACCCCATCAACATTCTGAAGGGCCATTGGCCATTCACTTATGTTTCAATTTTTCTCTATTTTAAGTAAACTTGTTGGAAAAGTTCTTTAAAAGTGATCACAGGAAACAGTTTTTATGAACAGACAGACAGACGGACTGAAGGACACTCTAAAGTTAATATTTGAAACATCCCTGTTACCAAAATATAACATTTTAAAAGCAAAATTCTTAAAGAGGAGATAACTCTTGAATTAAAGATGCAATTTCATAAAAAAATTTAACTCTTTTTGACTAATCACAAATATTGTTATATTTGCCATGTTTTAAGCCTATTTGTTGCCAAGGCAACCGATATTTTTTCAAAATAGGAAGAACAGATAAGACATGCATAATCTCAAGACTGCTGTCTACCCATATGTCAAGTTTCATAAAAATATTTCCAGTACTTTTTGAGTTATCACTGGATTCAGTTTATGTGTAAAATTTGCCATATTTTCAGTCTATGTGTTGCCATAGCAACCAGAATTTTCAACATAGGAAGAAAAGAAAAAGACGTGCATAATCTCAAGACTGCCATCTACCCATATGTCAAGTTTCATAAAAATATTTCCAGTACTTTTTGCTTTATCACTGGATCCAGTTTATGTGTAAAATTTGCCATATTTTCAGCCTATTTGTTGCCATAGCAACCAGAATTTTCAACATAGGAAGAAAAGAAAAAGACGTGCATAATTCCAAGACTGCCAACCCATATGTCAAGTTTCATAAAAATATTTCCAGTACTTTTTGCGTTATCACTGGATCCAGTTTATGTGTAAAATTTGCCATATTTTTAGCCTATTTGTTGCCATAGCAACCAGAATTTTCAACATAGGAAGAAAAGAAAAAGACGTGCATAATCTCCATACTGCCATCTATCCATATGCCAAGTTTCATAAAAATATTTTCAGTACATTTCAAGTTATCACGGGATCCAGTTTTGTGGACGGACGGACGGACTGACAGACAGACGGACGGACGGAGGGTAAACCTAAAGTCCCCTCCGGTAAACCGGTAGGGGACTAAAAACCATTTTTTAATTGAAGCGCCTATAGAACACTTACATTTAGTGCTATGTTTATATAACGCAAATGATGTCATGTCAAAATATATGCCTGGCCGTGCAATACCATTTTTATGGAGATGCAAAAACGGCATGGGTATGTGAGGAAACTGTATATGTCGTTTATTTTATTTCAAGGTCATATTACAATCAACAATACATGTATATTCTTACATCATAAACAAAAACCTCTCAAGTATATAAACATACCTGTAAATATATCACCAGATTTGGTATCACCCCCACCTGCACCACTTGCTCTTTGATTATCTGTATAGCTAGGAACATATCTACCTCCACCAGTAAATGGGTCAGCCCCTCCTGATGCACCTGTATTACCACTGGTTGCTCCAGGAACATACCTCCCTGCTCCGGTAAATGGGTCAACTCCACCATTCTGTGTGGTACTACTGCTAGATCCAGGTACATATCTTGTTCCACCTGTAACACAGTAAGATAAATATTAAACTTTGTAAAACTTATTGTCTATATGATAATATATTAGTTATCAATTTAAAAATAATAAAGGTATAGATAGATTTATTTACATCACAGAAGCTATTTGATACAATTTGATATAAGTTTCAGTATGCAGATTAATATCTTATGATTTACCTTTGAAAATAGACATATAAGCTGCAAGAGGTGAAAAACTTGTATGTATTAGAAAATTAAAGTTTCAGTCTATGTAAGGTAAAAGTTTGTATAACATAGGCTGCTTCCAAGAGTATTGTACAAATTTTCTTGTGGATAATGAGAAGAAAAGAGTGACCTGTAAATGGATCAGTGTATCCGGCTCCAGATCCAGATCCTTGATTCAGTGTTACACCCTTTGTATTATCAAGGATAAAGTTGGCAACTTGATCCAGGAATAGCTGGCTAAGATTATTTTTTGAGAGGAAGTTCTGTGCAGCAAACCACGGGTCCTCGGCTATATTGTATGGCAGTTTTAATGGTGGTTTCCCTTCCTCAATGTCTACACTGAACACATAATCATATTCCTGTACATAAAAAAAACAACACATCAGATTTATAGAACACACAATAAACACACACATTATAATCTTTATAGAGTGAGAGCCTAAAACAAGATCATCAAGTAATACATCACAAACCACTTTACAACAACATGACCATCGATGGGGAAAAATAATCGAAGAACAAAAAATATTTATATTTCAAAGCTGAAAGTTAATGATCATTACTATATACAGCAGGTTGCTGAAAATGTGCGATGGTAAATTTAATGTGGCTTACTGCCGTGATTCGGAGTGAAACTACCAACCACCAGCTGCAAGAAGTTAGACATTATTGGGATGGCTTATATGTTAGCATGCTGTATCTTTACCTTTCCTTCAAACAATGTCTTGCCAGAAGTAGCAGTAGTACCTCCTGATGACCCTACAACATCTCCAACCTTCTTCCATTGTTGAACACTTTTATCCCAACTGTATAATTCAACCTTTCCACTAGAGTTACGTACCATCTTTGTCTGTCCTTCTTTTGTTCCTACATCATAGTAACATCATTGTTATACACAATATAAAGCCATGTAGCAAACTGATGTGTCTTGCATATTGTTAAATTTTATACGAGATGAAAATGAATGAATTTAAGATAAAATGGTACTATGTTCACTTTAATCATACATATCCTGAATATACATACAGGTTCCAGTAATGAACTGTGGTTGTTTCCTTGAGCAAGAAACTTTACATTTGTCACAGGGTGTGAAAAATGTGCAGCCTGACCAGGACTCGAACCAGGGACCCACAGAATATCGTACCCCGGCTCTACCAACTGAGCTATCCAGCCACTTACATCATCTCCCCTATATAGTGATCAATTCTGAACCGTGACATACTCCCCTGTCATATTGACATTCGTATTCAAATTTCACAGAGTATGAATTAAACTCTGAGCTATATGCAGTCAAGTCCCCCGTTTGGCGCCAAATGTCACAGGGTGAGAAAAATGTGCAGCCTGACCGGGACTCGAACCCGGGACCCTCGTAATACGTACCGCGGCTCTCCCGACAGCCATCTGGCTGCTTACACATCTTCTCCCATATATAGTGAACAGTTCTGGACCATGGCATATTCATTGCTTAGTACTGGCTGGTTTCAGGAACAGATTTGAGAGTATTTCAATAAGTTTATAGCTTCCAACACAATCAAACTAAACAAGAGCCGGTTGAACCGGGTGATGCTCCCCGAATATGTTTTGGACACAGGAAGGTATACCTCTTGTTGTGTCAGAGTTATGTCACAGACAAAGTTCAAAGTGTAAAAACAACCCAAATATTGTGCACGACACATTGTCTAAATATGGTGATCATTTTTGTGAAATAGTTTTAATATCCGATTTCAAATAACAAAGTTATGCGCCTTATATTATTTTGCTGCAAGGTCATGCTGTGACCTTGACCTTCAACGTAGTGACCTAAATGTTGCATGCGACACGTCGATTCAATATGGTGATAATCTCTGTGAAATAGTTGTTAAATCCGAATTCCAGTAACAAAGTTATGGGCTGGACACGATTTTGCTGCAAGGTCATACCGTGACCTTGACCTTCAAGGTAGCAACCCAAATGTTGCGCGCGACACAATGTCTCATTGTGGTGATCATTTCTGTGAAATAGTTGTAAAATCCGACTTCAAATAATGAAGTTATGTGCCGGACACAATTTTGCTTCAAGGTCACGCTGTGACCTTGACCTTCAAGGTAGCGAGCCAAATGTTGTGCATGACACGTCATCTTAATATGATGATCATTTCTGTGAAATACTTTTTAAATCTAACTTCAAATAGGGAAGTTATGGGCCGGACACGATTTTGCTGCAAGGTCATGCTGTGACCTTGACCTTCAAGGAAGCTACCCACATGTTGCACGCGACACATCGTCTCAATATGGTGATTATTTCTGTGGAATATTTTTTAAATCCGACTTCAAATAACAAAGTTATGGACCGGACACGATTTTGCTGCAAGGTCATGCTGTGACCTTGACCTTCAAGGTAGCGACCCAAATGTTGCGCGCGACATGTCGTCTCAATATGGTGATCATTTCTGTGAAATATTTTTAAAATCCAACTTCAAATAACAAAGTTATAGACCGGACACGATTTTGCTGCAAGGTCATGCTGTGACCTTGACCTTCAAGGTAGCGACCCAAATGTTGCGCGCGACACGTCGTCTCAATATGGTGATCATTTGTGTGAAATACAGTCGAGACTGTCATATGTGACTTTCCAAGGGATCTTCAGAAAAAGGTCACATATGACAGGGAGTCTCTTAATACAGTCTCAAAGAAAATTAAATTTAAGTATGATCTAGCTGTCTATATACCATTGTGACTTAAAGATCCTTTATGTTTTGTGAATGTCCACACTTGCAAAAAAAATATATATGGACATAATTATGCAAATAAAACAACTTTCAAACATCAAAGAATATGTATAATGTGTACTGAAAATATTTGTGCACATTATATTTAATCAATAAATTACATGCATTGATTACTTATTGGAAAATTTAACTTAGAATTTATAGAAAATAAAGTTCTAATTACCTCCCTTTAATGGCCTTTATTTATATTAAATGTTAAATTGGGTGATATATTTATAAATAATGCTTATTTGAACTTACAATATTGACAAATCTTAATTTGAGCATAATATTTATGAAATAAAACCATGAAAAATTGTGTTACAGGATCTTTCAACATATCCATGTCCAAAGCTTTTTCTGGTTTAGTATCAATATTTTTCCGTATTAATTATGCAGTCAAGGTAAATAAAAAAAATATGCTGCCTAAAAAATCTTCCTTGGGCACTCTATAATTAAAAAAAATCTAACACAAGTCTTAACCAGTTTACTCAGGCCATAATGTACATTACACACACATCGATTGCGTCATGCTTCCCATAAACAGACGCTACGTCACTTGATACCTGCATTTATACATGTCAACTGTGTAATTGAGATAGAGGTGTGTAGACTTTGTTTGCTACTGGATTATAATTGGACTTAATTATTTTGGCCCTCTGGGTGTTATAATAGGTATTATTTATCTGATTTAACGGACAATTAAAAGGTGTGAAAGTCGTTTAAATCAGACAAAACATTGCATTGGGACCTGACAATTAGGGTCGCTTGTCACATATGACAGGGAGTCGTTTAATTCAGACCATTTATATAGGAAAATACGTTGGGAGGACTGAAACAAGGTCGGATAAGACAGGGAGTCGTTTAAATCAGGGGGTCGCTAAGGCAGTCTCGACTGTATTTTTAAAATCCGACTTCAAATAATGAAGTTATGGACCGGACACGATTTTGCTGCAAGGTCATGTTGTGACCTTGACCTTCAAGGTAGCGACCCAAATGTTGTGCGCGACACGTCCTCTCAATATGGTGATCATTTCTGTGAAATAATTTTAAAATCCGACTTCAAATAACAAAGTTATGGGCCGGACACGAATTTAGGACGTACGGACTGACGGACGGACGGACAGACAGACGGACGGACGGACGGACAACCCGACGACTATATGCTCCCCCGAAATTTTTCGGGGAGCATAATAAATTTGTATAAACTACCTGTTTTGTAACTCTATCAAACTAAATAAATTTGTATAAACTACCTGTTTTGTAACTCTATCAAACTAAATAAATTTGTATAAACTACCTGTTTTGTAACTCTATCAAACTAAATAAATTTGTATAAACTACCTATTATTGTAACTCTATCACCAAAAATAACACTTATAATATAAAGCAGTCTTTCTAACAAAATTTATACAGATACTTTCTCTAGCATGAATGTATGGTTATTGCATGAAAATATATATATAGATGTACCAGGATTATCTAGAGCTTCAGGACCAGGCAGCTCCTCGGGTCTGATATCTTGTGGAACTTGAGATGCAGCTATTTGATCATCATATGCCTTCAACTCCTCTGTAGAAGCTATTCTACTTTTATCACTAGTAAACACTCGTATAGTACCATCACTGAAATTAATGAATAATAAAATAGTTCTTAAAGTAAATGTAAATGTAGTGAATTCATCACGCTTGAAAAGTTCAATAAAGTCTGTGTAATACAAAATTCCTTATAGGAATTTACTATAATTAAATAGATGAAAGTTGTTTAGAACAAATCTGCAAATCAGTGACTTAAATAGTGGCAGCAAGGCAGAGTGGTAAACACATCACACTAATAACCTAAGAATTACTAGTAGCATGGGTTCAAACCCCATCAGTGGCAAGCCGTTTTCCTTCAGCAAGAAACTTTACACTCATTGGTCAATAATGGTTGGTTCCAAAAGCATATTCGAGAGTGTGTCTATAAGCTTATAGCTTCCTTCACAAACAAATTAAAAATATATATTGTAAAACCATAAATAGTTCAGCGATATGTCAAATCAACTTTCAACAATTTTCTTTTTACAAGCAAACATTCTTCTACAAAGAATATAGCAAATATAAAATAGTACCTAGCTCCTGATACAATATCTCCATTAGCTAATGTACACACAGTCCATATAGAGAGTGTAGGATGTACTATAGTCTGTGTGTTCTCTCCATTCCTCCATACCCTTACTGTACGATCTTCTCCACTTGTAACAAAATCCTCACCGTTAGGTAACACAGCAATACTGTAGACAAAATTTTCATGACCATAGTATACCTGTAGACAGTCACCAGATACTAGCCATCGTCTTATAGTGGCATCATTAGAACATGAGAGAAACTCACCTCCTTGTGTCACAGCTAAACCTCTTACACAATCCTCATGACCTATAATATACAAAAAGATCTAAAATAACAAATACTTAAAATTTTATTTTTAAGCATTCCAGAAAAAGTGAAAGAATGTCAATTCAGCTGAAGGCACATTATGCCTCAGAAATCTTATTTTTTTGAATTCTTTAGAAAGGTCAAATATGTGTCTTATGGTGTTTGAATAATGGAGTTAGGACATGTTGGATGTTTATCAACCGAAAAAAGTAGTGCTGAACATGGGTATTGTTTCATCAAGATAGCAAAATGTAAACAAAGTAGTAATTTGACTTCCATACAAAATATTAATTCACTTGCCAACAGAGCTATAGTTGCAAAAGATAGTCCATGTTTATAGCAAATGAGTATAACATTGAAAACTGTGTAACAATTTTTGAGAAATAAAACTAAGCATTTCAGAGGCGATGGGCCGTTAAGCATGACCAGAGATTTTAAAAGAATATGAAATAAACAAGATATATGATTACCTCTGATTGTGTTGACACATTTACCAGCTTTCCACACTTTGATAGTTTTATCAGCAGAGCCTGTCAACATTGTACCTTGTTCTGGCATTATAGCTACTGCCCATACAGCAGACTCATGACCTACAGAAAATATATCATCAAAATATCACATATTACACGCTCTGGAATTGGTAGTAAAGTATAACAAAAATTATATGTTCAAGACTTGATGATCAAAATAAATGTATTTGTATAGCCCAATTTAAAAGTAAGTGATAGTGACACAAGAAATAAACTAAAGAAAGAATTGTGGATTTATTTGCAGTGACTGTTTTCACTTTTTTACTTTCAGATGTGCATTATAATAATAAGTCCAAATATACCAGTAGAAGCATTTTTGTTTCATATTGAAAATAAGCACAATCATGCTCAAAGTATGTATAAGAAGAAAATGGGTATCAATCACAAATGCTTTAGAACTAATTGACCATACATAAGTAGAATAATTGTAGTTTGCCATCACCATATATATGAATTCCTCTCTGTTCTAGTGTAAACTATTGAAAAATGATGAATATTCTGACTTACTTTGTTGTTTTAATTACTATTAAAGATAGGTTCATAAGTTATATAAAGTTATATAATTAAAAGAAATCAAACAACACATGCATCATGTTCAGAAACATTGATACAGCCACTAATTACCTTCCAGTGTCATTACACATTTCTGTGATAGCCAAACCTTGGCCGTTTTATCCCAGGAACCACTTAATAATGTACCAAACTTTCCTGATGCAAGGGAACAAACTAAAAACAAATAATGAGTTAACAATTTATTCTTTCCTTATTTAGCTTGCAGGAATCCTGCTATAAAAACAATTGTCTTTAATTAACTTGAAGGACACCTGCTATAAAACTATTTTCTTTAATTAGCTTGAAGGACTCCTACTATAAAAACTATTAAAGATATTAAACTGGTATGTATCGTTTCCCGGTAAAAGAAATTTCATCTATTAATTCAGAGTAACATTTTATATAGAGACTATAAAACATATTTTTATATAATGTTTGTAATAATGTATTACCAGTACTGGTATGTCCTTCAAGTTTATATATAGGCTGTGGTGAATCTAGTGTAAATGCTAAGATAGTTGAATCATTACTGCCACTGAATATAAGACCATGAGGATGTTTATCATCTGGTGGAAAACAGCATACACTTGCTACAAAATTACTGTGTCCACTCATACAGTGTCCCTCATGAAATCCATTATCTCCTCTGAAATATGATTAAAAGCAAACGTTCAATTCATTTAATAAATTTAACAAAATTGTCTTAATCATGTCATGTTACTGATTATATGAATAGATAGAAGCGACAGGTTTCAGAACATTTAGATGATCTCATCAGGGCTACAGATAACATTTTGTGTATATTGAGTAATTACCCCTGGTTTTGTGATCTATTGGGTATTTTCTTAGAGTTATTTTTGTATTTTTTACGCTACCCTCTTTAACCAAATTGGGATATAAAGCACGAGTTCATGTATTTTACCCAAAATTTCTGAACTTCATTGTAGACTGTTGTAGGTTTTGTATGGTAATAAAAAAGCTACTCACTACAATGCTTTAGTTTATGGTTTATTGGCCTAGGAGATTTCCAAGCTGCCTGATATAGTTTAAAGGTTAAAACTGTCTGAAACAGTATGATTTGCCTGATGTATGATTATAATTAACGTCATTATGTACCAGTTCAAATGTAGTTAGCGTAAATAAGAATTTATTTACTTTTTCTTACCCTTAGTTATTATTTTTATTGCAAGTTTTTTGACATTTTAATTGTGTAATAACGCAAATACACATGTTATCTGCAGCCCTGAGTCTCATTATATAAGAATTTCAAAGGAATCAAATCAGGGTGCCGGTTATTCGGTCATATTCCTAATTGAAAATAGTATATTATTGTCCCAATCCACAGGAAAAAATTCCCAATTGAAAGTTACAAAATAAAAATATTGAATAACAAATTCTAAAATGATATGGTGCTTAAATGCTTTAAGATGCCATCCTAGACAGTGATTCTTTGCTTTCATTTAATCATTGCAAAATTTAAGTCATGCATTTTTTCCAAATTTTTAACAAAACATTGCTGAAATTCCCAAATCCATGGGTGAGGGTGATGTGCATAATAAATCCTGCGAAAAACCCCTGGGGTGGCAAAGCCAGGGGTGCGGAATTACTATGCCCGACTCGGGACTTTTTGCTGGCGGACAAGTAGATTTTCACTTAGCAGTTGTCCGCAGACAAGTGAAATTCTGAGCAAAGAAAAAAAGCTTAATGCTGATATTCTAACCGTACTTTATCATGACCGTTAATTTTTTCCGTGAACATTAATTTTTTCCCGATGTTGTTTAATTTGTGTTTAAAATGTGTAAATTTTATTTGTATACCATCTAAAATAGCACAAATGAATCGATACTATACGATGCTATTTCACCCCATATGAGGCCTCTTGCTTCTATTGCAAAACGAGCTTGGCTATTAGTTGTTTTGAGGCAACCGTCCGGTGCTTTAGTAAATAATGCACAGCATTATAGATTCGTTGTTTCATTGTGAATTGTTTTGATACAAAATGGAAAATTTTTCATTTGGTGTGAAAATAATCTGGAAGTGTAAATCAAATGTGCAGAGAGACAAAGAATATGACCAAAAACGCATTCGTGTTTAAAGATAGCTAATTTACTGATTCTACTTGGCTCAGAAAATACAATAAATAATTCGGACAAACTTTATTGTCATGTTTGCCGAATGTTCCCCTTTATGTAATGAAATCATTAATAAGAAAGGACACTCTTACATCGCATCAAAAGTTCTCCAAACCTGTCATGCGAGTCCAAATACGAGTTTAAGCAAACCGTTAACAAGGACCGAATTTGGTTAAATTAATAAATATTAAGTAGAAATTTTAGTCCAACTTGTCCATGGGCAAGTGGAAAAAATCCAAAATTCCACACCCCTGAAAGCCAAATGATTTAAGGGGTAAAAGTGAATTAGTAACGATTCACCACAGTGAAACAACGATTTGCCACAGTTAAATAATAAACTGCCACATCGGGATTAAAGCATTAACTGTTAAATAAAGTCAAGAAACGGAAATAAAGTGTAGTTTTTTAAAAAATTAATTTGACAAGGTAAATGACAATGTGTTTATTCGTAATATAAGGCCTCCAGCATAAAATACAATCAGATTTACAATTTATTAAAGAGTAACATTTTAATAGGAGTAATTAACAAGAAAGAAATATGTTAAAATAAAAGAAATCTTAAATTAAATATATATACATGTTTTTTTTTTAATTTCATTTTTGCAACAACATAGATCACAGTAAGTAACGAAAATGTTAAATAGATTTCTATATCAAATATAAATTATAAATGTATATGTATACAGTTTAACTTGCCCATGCTACCACGTGTATTAAGCGACTTTTGTCTTATGCGGCCACTTTCAATTCCCCCTGTTCATTTTCTCTCTATATCTTTAATGTATAAAGCAACTTTTGCTCAATGCTACAATGTGTCAACAATCAAAACACAACATATAAATGTGTAAATAAAACTCTATTTGCCAAACCGTTTTAGTGTATGCAAATAAAAGTAAGTTTAAGCGTAATGTGTATTATCCAATAATATCAATAAAACAATGCAACGCGCCGCCCCTACACAGATGGTGTATACGCTTAGCTGTTGATATTTAGACTGCATTGAATTGACCTTGATTTTGATCAGCAATTAAATCAATCGTTACAATCAGATGTAGTTTGTTTATTTCAAATGAAAAATGCACAACAGAAAAAAGCTTCACTTATCAGGGTTTTCATGTTGGAGACAAGAAAATACAATGGAGAAGTTTAAAAGTTCTGGAAAAATGTCAAACATGTACGTAATGGATCAAAACTGATTTGTCAATAAATATCTGAAAGTTATTTTTTTACCTTAGCATCCATTTATATTATCGGAGTGTTCTAATTTATATTAAACATTTATATTTATAAATGAAGTTGAAAAACATTTCCATCGCAAAAGAAAGATTTCATGTATAAATTCTAACTTTTTATCATGCTTTGTCTTAAGAGACCTTTCATCAAGCGACAGTTTTGGGTGTTTCCCTTGCGCAGTCGCTTAATACAAGTTTGACTGTATATTGTATTTTAACACCTGTGGAAAATCGTTATTTATGTGTGGCGAATCATCATTACTCTGTGGGGCAAATTGCTATAATTGTGGCGAAACGTTACATAACCATAAAAGTGTTTGGCAAAAAAAATCTAAAAAATAAGACTAATTCAGACTGTTTTTACAAAATAGCCTTTAATAGCGAGCTCGACAAGCTGGCCCAAAGGGCCTGCTCGCAAAGCGAGCTTTACGGTAACGCGAGTACCTGCTAGGTGAAGGTTTTGAAAACTTTTGTCCAAAGTACCGAATTGACACATCAAAACTTTTCGAATTACAAGATAACGATAAAAGCTGATGTACTCTGATTGAAAACGGAAGGGTAGACTGGTGGAACCATAATAGAAAGGAGGAACCAGAATAAACGGAAGCAGTGTATAAAATACCGAATGACAATTTTAAAACGGAAAATGTAGAATAAAAATGAACGATAATTTTAACTATAATTTTTACGGTAAAAGAAAATCGAGCTCGCTTTGAGGCTTTGCCTTTTTCATATTAGGGGAAGATTCAAGAACAGTCAGGGAGGAAATGTCAGGGGAGGAATTGGTAAGGGAGAGAATAGTCTGACTACCAAATAGACTGAACTTGAGAAAAAGCGTCGTCATTGTTCCTGTTGTTTTCGTTTTGGAACTTGCTATTTTGAGTACAGTGCAAGAAAAAAATCTTACTCAATTGGCACCCATACGCGTGCCGTAACGTCTCTTGATCCGGAAACGATAGCATTTTCTGGAAGAATAGATGGGGTTACAGCTCTAACATCTTTTTCATGACCAAAAATTTGACATCGAAGTTGGTATGAACCAGCCATTTTTAAGTAACGCAGCAAATACCGGTGTCGGAACCAGTTTAAAATAAATATTTTGAAGAAAAAAAGAAAAAGCTTTAAAAAAATAAATGAAGTGAGTAAAATAATTATTGAATAAAAAGGATATGTTTCATATCGAATTTAACATGAATAATGTAGATTATAATGAATGAGTCGGATAATCGACACAAGACCATGTTATTACCAGCACCGGTTAGCGACCTCCACCGGTTGTCGCTTTGTATCAACACACTCAGTATTATTCCCTATCAACACACTCAGCGCTTTTCCTGTTGACTCCGCCCAAGTCACGTGACATAGTCTCAATTCCTGCCTCTTCTAACTATTTCCTAAAGAGCGGAAGTATTAATTAATTAATGTAGAATAAGAATTGTAGCGTTTATTATAAAATAAATGATTTAATTGAAATTTGGATTAAATAATGAAATGAATAATTTGCTTTCATTTTTCATAATAGAAATATTTGAGTTGTTATTAACAAATCTGTAATTAAAATGACTTTGATAATAGTTTGCGTACTTCGCAAAAAGTCAGGGGCGGATACAGTATGGTTTCCTGGGGGGCTGACATATGGGTGGAAGATTTTGACAAAAATAATGCACCAGGCGAGAAATTGTGCATGTTTGAAGTTTGGGCCAATATCTTGTTCATGTGACAAAAATGTAATAGATGTGTTTTATAGCTCATCTGATGAGTGGCAATGTACTTTCGCTGTGTATTAAAATTTCCGCAAATATTTAAATGATTTGAAATTAAGGAAAATATATGTAATTTGGGTGGGCCAGGGAGGGGAGGGGTGTCCCCTCCCATAGACTGAGAAAATTTTGAAATATGAGGTTGAAAATGGTGTTATTTCCTTGACTTTCTAGTGCTGTTTATGGTACCTTTTGGATGGTTTTACAGGCTAGTGTTTGCAGGCTATTTCAAATAGAATTCCCCTGGTATTAGTATTAAGCATTTAAAAATTAACAGCACACTAACCAATGTATGCGCGACTGTTGATAAAAATAATTTCCAAACATTTGATCAATTTACTCATCTGAATAATAGACGATTTTTCCAAAGTAAAGTGATATTAAAATACTGTCTTTCTATTGTACAAAAAATAATTTCAATAAGAATTTTTTCCATCAATGAATCAATTTTAGATACTAAATTTAAAAGGTCAGTACAATTTAAACTTTATTTAAAAATATAACTGCAATACAAAAGATATCAAAAGCAAATGCCCAATCAGTTCATTTGAATAAAAATCTTAGTAAATCTAGTTATTAAAACGCGATTCATTTAATATAATCTTTATGAAACTCCCCATCTTTTTAATTTACAAATAATAATTTTCAATTTCTTAAGCAAAGAAAATTTATATAAATATTTACTTGAAAAGAAGTATGGCAGATGATGAGGCAGGTATGTACGTTTCAATTGTTTAAGATGAACGTGCGACATGACTTTAAATATAGCTTTTTTCTTACTTATATATATACTAGACAGCGCAAATAATATTGCTAATATAGGCACCCCAAGAAAAATATTATATTTTTTATACAAAAAAAACAATTTTTTGTAGAAAAATAATTATAATCATGTATAATTTTTTTAAAATTTTTTTTAAAAAAATTCATAAAAAAATGTTTTTCTTTTTCTAAAAAGGTTTTTTTTATTTGCAAAAATATAAATACATTTTCTTAAAATTATTCAAACTTCTGTAAGAAAATTTGCTTTTCATTTATTAAAATTTAAACTTTTAAAAGACTATCTTAAAAGGGAAGGGATTGTTTTTGAAAACTTTTTGTGAAATTTATAACAATTTTTACGAACTTTTAAAACCCATTTTCTTTTTTCCCCTCAGGGGCACGTGGGCCCTTTTAAATGAAAGTTTGGTCAAAAAAGCTGAAATAATTAGTGCAATTCCCGATTTATTTTTTTCCGGGTAACCAAAATGTAAAAATCGTGCATTAAATTTTTCCTGCGCATGAAAATACTTCTGTTTGGGGTGGGTAACCAAAAAACCCGTTTTGTTATAGAAATTAAATAAATTTGCATTTTTAAATATTCTTAAAATAAACATCCATTTTTTTTAGGAAGAGTATGATTTTTTCTCTATACGAATAATATTCGTGTGCAGAATATAATGCAATTTATAACATATTATCCGTTCAGTTTCTAGTGTCTTTCCAAAATCAATAAACAATATAAACAAGTTAGAATACCGACCAATTATTTTCCTGATTTTGGTTGAGAAAATCTGCATCAACCTTTTCAGAAAAATTGTAAGTATTTAGTATATCGGTTCAGGCAAGGAAGAGAACTTGTAACTATGTCTTTAAGTCAAATTGAAGTGTAAAATATGCCCCGGTTAAATTGTTTGAAACAGAGATTGAAAATGTTCAAACAATATTGGAAGAAATGGTAAGAAAATATGCATCAACCTTTTTTAGATGATTTATTTAAAGCATCAAATAAAAGGTTAATTAAACCCCAAAATAAATTTGCCTACAAAAATTTTGATCAGTTAAAAAAATTTCAAAATTGAATAAACAAAAGCCTAATTTTTTGGAATTGTTTGAAATTTTTTCATTTCTTTCTTTTTTTAGTGAAATTTTTGGCATAACCTTTTCAAACCCCAAAAAATTTTTAGTATTTTTAAAAATCGCTCAAAGGGAAAAATAAAAAAAAATAAATTATTGTTTCTAAAAATTTTTGCCTTTTAAATTATGAAAACACTTCAATAAAAGGGTTTAAGGGTTTTAATATCAACCTAAATTTTAAAAGAAACGTTTGAAATCTAATAAATTTCTTTCTTTTTATTTGAAATTTTGGGATCAAACCTTTTTTAGCGGGTTTTTAAGTATTTAGCTTTTTCGCTTTAAAGGCAAAGTAAAAAAAATAATATTTTTAAATTTAAAATATTTCGCATCAAAGTTTGAAAACACTTAAATTAAAAGTAAAATGTCCAAATTTTAAAAAATCAAAAACCCAATGTTTAAGAAATTGGGTTTTAAATCTAATCATTTTTTCTTCCTTCTATGGGGAATTTTGGCATCAAAACCCCTTTTCAGCCGTTTTTTACAATAATTATATTCATTTTGTAAGAAATTAGCTGTTCAATCCTACATTTAATGGAAACGTTAAATCAATTCTGAGCATTGTTCATATATACTCAGGTAAGGCTAACTGTACTTGAATTGACACATTTTTTATCGTCACAATGATTTTCCTGTTAAGAAATCTGCATCAACCTTTTCAGCCGAATTATAATTATTTATAGCATATCGCTTCATGCAAAATAGAGAAATTGTAATTATGTGTTAAAAGTCAATGGAACTGTGAAAAAAAAAGGGCCACTTTAGGATTGTTTTAACTGGAAAATGGAAAATAATCGAACAATATTACAAGAAATCGTTAGAAAAAATCAAACATTTTCAATTGATTTATCTCTGCATCAAATAACGTTAAGTGCTTAATGTATTTGCCCCCTATCAAAAACGTTATAAATACACTTAAATAATGTTGAAGTTGAATAATCAAAAACCTAATATTTAAGAATCGTTTGAAATCAAATTATTTCTCTTATTTCTATCATTAAAAGGGAAAATTTTGGAATTTAACCTTTTCAAACCCCATTTGTCCCCAAATTTTAAAAACTTCTATGCTTCAATCTACATTGGGGAAAGGAAAAAGGGGTTAATAAACTTTAAATTAAAATTCTGAGCATTGTTTTATATGTACTCGGTAAGGCCCAATGTTTTTGTGAATTTACACATTCTTTTCGGGCACAAAGATTCCTGTTAAGAAAAACTGTACAACCTTTTATAAACCGAATTAAAGTATTTTAAACAATCGGGTTTTATGCAAAGAAGAAATATTTTTAAAATTTTTGTGTTTTTTTGTCAAAAGGAAATTTTGAAAAAGGGGCCAATTTTTTGATTTTTTTTAACCGGAAAGATGGAAAAAAAAACGAACTTATTTACAAAATTTGGGTTTGAAATATCAAATTTTCAGATGATTTATTTTTTGATCAAAAAAAGTTAAGTGCTTAAAAGCATTTGCCAAATTTAAAGTTTGATAAGTTAAATAATTTTTGAGTTGAATAATATTAACATAAAGTTTTACAACTGTTTGAAATCTTATCAAATTTTCCTTTTTAAGGGTTTTAAAAGTGAAATTTTAAAAATAACCTTTTCGCCGATTTTTTAGTAAACATATTAAAAATTTGTACATTTTATTAAACTGCTTCAACCCCTACAGGGTTTTGGAAAAGTGGGTTCATAAAACTTGAAAAAAAATTTGAGCATTGTTTATATATACTCAGGTGGGTTAAAATGTCTGTGAAATTTACACATTTTTAATTTTTCACCCCTAATTCCCCGTTAAGAAAAAACTGCATCAACCCCTTTCCCGCCGAAATTTAAATTATTTAGCATATCCTTCCCTTTCAATGTAGAAAAAATTTAGTTAATATTGATTTTTTTTTTTAAGTTAATTTGGTAATTCTGTTGAAAAGGGCCATCTTCAATTGTTTTTAACCTGATGAATTTGGAAAAATAATTGAACAATTTTACAAAGAATTGGTTAAAAATTATGCCTTAACCTTTTCAGATGATTTATTTATGGCATCAAAATTAATGTTAAATTTTAAGGGCGCTAAAATTTGGACCTATAAAATTCAATGAAACCAGTTAAATTTAAGTTCGAGTTGAATGATATTAACAAATGTTTGAAAACTTATAGATTTCCTTTATTTCTATAAGCTGGGAAATTCTCTGCATCAACATTTTCAGCCGAATTTATTAGTATTTAGCATTTCGCTCAAGGCAAAATTAGAAAAAAAAAATAGTAATTATTGTGCTAAAAATATTGCCTATCAAAGTTTATGATACAGTTAAATAATGTTCGAGTTGAATGATATTAACATAATGTTTGAACTTATTATTTCCCTATTTTATAGGGTTGAAGATTTTCTGCATCAACCTTTTCAGCCGAATTATAAATTTTTTTAAGCAATC